TAACAGTGTTGAAACTGTTCAAGACACATGGTTTTTTAATGAAAAATGTGCTTGGCTAAAATCTTTTTTAAAACAATTAAAAAATTAATTAATTAAAAACCAAATAAAATCTGATAACAATGACTTCCTATTCTTTCCAGCCAGAAAACTTAGAAATCAATTGTATGTATAATTTCACATGTTATCATATAATATTATATATTTTATAGATGCATATTATTATTTACCTATTAAAATATTATTTTTCAGCTTCTTTATCTATAGCTACATCAAAAATCAAAAGAGCTATTTTTAAATTCAATCTTTTAAGTACAGAGAAAGTTGAGAATGTGAAAATTACAGGAAAAAACGTAAACAAACAAAATCATTTAGTTTGTCTTTTCAGGACAAATCTGTTGCAGTCATCCAGCAGTTGTCTTTTCTTTAAAGATTATATTATTTTTGCAGGTACCTATTTTAAATAAATTGACCATATATAAAAAATATAATATAAGTAGATATAAAACATAATAGGTATGCATAATAATTAGTGTACCTGCTATATGAATCTTTATGTAAATACCTTGTTAGCATAACTACAAGAGTAAAATATATCCACAATTTATTGTACTATAAGAACCTATATAAACAATTTGGTTTTGTCTTTTTTTAGAGTATATGCATCATATTTTTACTATTTTAATAGAATATAAATCCAGGATCTAATTATTATAACTCTTTTAATATAAAATATGATTTTATGGAGGGTCATCAACAACCCACCGCGTATGGATGCCGGTAAATGTTATTTTGGGTATTTAATATCTCTAAGTCTGTATTAATATCAAAGCTTTTATTATAGTTATTTTTTAAAATATGTAAGCGAAATTTTAATTATGGGTAATCTTTTTAAATTTTATTGCAGAAATGTGTTCTTTATATCTTATTTTAAAATGTCTATTTGTCTTACTTACATAAAATGTATTACAGTTACATTTAAGTTTATATATACTAGCATTTTCAATAGAAGGGGGATTTTTTCATGAAGTTTTTAGTTTTATTGTTTATATTTTTGATTAAATTATTATTAGTCTTAAAAACGATTTTTACATTATTTTTATTATTGTTCAGAATTTTAGCAAATTCGTTAGACATATTATTTTGATATTTCATTTTACAATAGTTAACGACATTATTTGGTGAGTTGCGTATTAATTTTTCTTTAATGTGTTTATAAATTTTTTTAATAATATTTAAATTGAAAATTTTTTTATGCGCTATATTATAGATAATATTGAGCTCAAATAGCATTTTATTTTTTATTTTCAGTCGCGTTTTACATTTTTATTTTAGTACATACATTTTTTATTTTTATATTTATTTATGAGCATTAACATTTTAATAATATTAATTTTACTTTATTTTATTATAATTATTCTTTTTTTTTTTAGTACTATTGGGGTTACCGGAATAAACATATTTTAAATTAATTTTCAAAAATGTTCACTCTCGATGCTTTGCACAGTAAAACTGACATTTTTTAACTAAAATAACATCTATTTTTGTCACCCGAATAATCTTGATTTTTTTTCAAGTAACTTTGAATAATATAATTTCTATTAATCTTAAAAATTGCTCGAGATACAACAATATTTAGATTTTAAAATATGATTGTTTAACAAATTATGTTTAAAATGCATCATGTTATTATTTAATTGTATGGTTATCTTTATGGTAGTAGTTTTTTTAAATTTAAAATTTCGAAAATCTACATTTTATTGAGTGTGTATGCGAAGCTTAACATTTTGAGAATTTGACTAATACGAGTATTTCGCTACACCAAATTTCTAAAAAAAACCAACTTTCAAAAGATTATATTTCAGCCTGAGCTGTTCTGCCTAAAATATTTCGTGGTAATGCATTTGCAAATATAACACCTTATATAGCATAGGATAGCGGCTGCAGTGTCCTTAAATTTAAATAAAAATGAGATATATCTTTCTCGGAATGCAACATGGGTGAATAATACAACCAGTTTCTGTTTCTCGTCACACTTTATATGTTATTATATTTTATAAGTAATAACTGGGCTAATAAGCTGATCTACATAATATATTATATTTTATATTACACTATATTATAATGACAGACATCGCAATATTATTAATTTGTGTCCAAACATTAATACTTATTGTACTGTATTTTTGTGAATTTGAATTTTTTTCGCTCTGAAATAATAATATATAATATATTACAGATTGTATATTTTCTTTTCATAGGCTGTCCAATTTGAATAATTAAAATACAAAAAAGAAAAATACTAAAATCATGTTACGATGTTTCGGCTATCTGCAGTCGTCATTTAATATGTTATTCGTATGTGTACGTTTAAACCGAAAATTATGAGACAGAACTTTTTGTGAGTTTGTTATTTATTATTTTTTTTAATATTCGTATTATCGAAATATTATTTGAAGATTTAACAGAATGTGTGATTCGTCCAATTATGTTAGGTATCTAGTCTTATTAAAACGGATGCAATATAATTAACACACATTTTGACATAGCCTACATACCTACTGTATGTTTGAATATCACTTAATTATATCTCGTAGATCTTCTAAAGCAACATATTATATTATTTTTTATTTTTTTTTTTTTATTACCATTAATAAATACTTTTATAGTTCGGGATTATTGGTTTTCTAATCATTTTATTATAGATAATAATAAATCACTTTCATATAGATGTTACAATATTTTTTTAGTATTGCTGTCTAATAATATAACAAATTATCTGTAGATATTATATTGTTTTTTAGTTTAATCATCATGATGTTGCTTCTTTAAAATGTCTCACAATATCATATACATATCATTAACTTCAGTAGCGCCGAACTAGTTTAAAAATACTATATTTGACGAGTTATTTTTTACATGTTACATGTATGTCATCCTTGTTTTTTTTCCATAATTATTATATGTTCAAATTCCAAATAAATTTACAAACATAGTTACTAGTTACAGCACCTAAAATACCTAAATATTATTACAGTACCGTTTTGATATGAAATATTCTTTATTATTGCAATTCTGTATTGATGTATCGATATTAACTATTTGTAGATATAAATGGAATCGTATGTCACATTGTACTTATTTCTTTTTCTATAGTTGTATTTCAAATAAGAATAGAAAATTACTTAGGTTTTCCGATAAAGAAGATTTAAAGTTATTTTAAGTGTAAAGAATGTACCATATCAGTAGCAAATAACCAACGTTGATATGTTAGGTTACCAATAAACTACATATTGTTTGCGCTATGACTATTATATTTTAGTTTTTCAACAGATATGTAGTAACAAACATTGAAAGCAATATTTAAGTTGCACAAAAGAAGAAGTCTAAATCATTAATTGATTTTTTAATTTCCAAAATATTTCTTCGACTGAAATCTATCAACAAATAATTAAAGTTTATGATTCACGCGTAATGTAGAATATTCATTTGATGTTCTTTTTGGGAATATTGTTGGGAGTAATCATTAGTTTGATTAATGACTACGTGGACAAATATAAAAATATGTCTAATTTATCATAGACAAATTTTAAAGTAATAAAATTAATTTTTCATAATTCAGTATATTTGTATACCTTATTTATGAGATTGTAAACATATTATTCAGAATCTTATCTTATAAAGGATGGGTTAGGTGAAACTACAACCAAATTGACCTTTTGTTAATTCAATCTCTCCATCTTTATCCCCCAAATCCAATGAGTTTAGATCACAACCTAGTCTAGAACATAACCTAGTATCAATGCTGGCTGGTACAGGTTGGGGTGTCGATGCTAAGACTTTGAGGATAGCAAGCTTGGGCTTAGTCTATAGCGCAGCGGAGAGTGGGTCCTATATTTAGGGTAATAGCTCGCACGTAAAGAAAGTAGATACATAGCTTAACAATATAATGAGAATAATAAGTGGTACTGTTAAACCCATACCACTTCATTAGTTGCCAGTACTGACAAATATTAAACCACTACATATATGAAAGAAAGAAGCACTCATAAAAACCATTAAGAAGTCTGAAGATCAAAAACACACTTCTATACCAAATGCTGCTTCAAACACCTGAACAGCGATTAAAATCCAGAATTTTACCAGCTAGGAAACTGTCCAGTTCAAGATTTGATGATGCTGAGGAATAGCGGAAAGAATGGAATCCAATCTGCGACTGTGGAAACGAAGAACAGTAAACCATATCGGTAACAGAATGCCAAAGAAAATTTAGACAAAGTTTTAAAGGACTACATAAAGTGAATCCAAAAGCAATGAATTAGGTTAGTAACCTCGACATACGGTTATGAAGAAATTATTTGAATAAGTATATTCCTATCTAAGTTTATTCATCTAAATGTTAGGTGCTTACAATTTTTTTTTTACTACACAATTTAAATTTTATAACATTGATTCTTTTGATTTTATAGTTCCAACTTAATGAAGTTAGGTTGTAGTTTAACTCCAGATACTAATTTGAATAATTTATCTCCAGAAGCAGGTAATTTACTTAGTTAAAAATGTCAATATGTTTTTATAATTGAAAAATGAATGTTTTAGTTATTTTTACTTTACTCGGTAAATCAAATACAACTTTTATGGTATGCACACCAGTGTTAAATGGTTTATCTAACTACTTAAACTCCGATTATACACCAGTATTTATTTATTCAATTCTAGCCTAATTATATTTTTCTAATGGTATATTATTTTATAGGTCAATTTTAGATTTTAAAGAATAAGCACAAAAATTCTGAAAACCATTAGTATTATTATTATTAATAAAGAATTCTGTAATAGTTAATAGATTCGAGATATATAGATAAGAATAAAAGATATACTAAACAAATAATAAATATATTAATTAAATTAATACATTACATAATTTATTTTTCAAATTTTTTATTATTATCTTGTTTTCCATTCTTGTGCTGGAGTTTTTTTTTTTTTTATTGATTTTCACATCATTTAGGTAACCTTCTTACTTGTCCATTACTAGGTCCCAAGGATTCAATTCTCCGTTTATGATCCTCTGACAATTTAAATTCAGAATGAGTTGGTTTTGAGATTAATTCTTTGAATCTTAAGTCGAACTCCTCTTCATCTGACATTTTTTTCTCCTCGTCACGGTTGGATATTCCATAGCGTTCTACTATGTCGTTTATTAATTTTTCTCGTTCTTCTGGAGATATAGGTTTAACACACAATTTTAAAAATTTGTCAAATATCTCTTCTTTTGTAGGTCCTCTTTTAGGTATTTCAGACATGGCAGGTTTTTTAACTTAAAGGTAGGTACCTGCAAAAATATGACACACGTCTTTTACGTAATACAATTTATTTAATGACAAGCGAGAACAACGGTAGAATATAAATGTATAAATTAAAGGAAAATAAAGGAGTACGGTAACAATGACTTACGTAAACAAAGAAAACACGTGCTCGACAAGCGTAATGCGACAAAAATGATCTTCAGTAGACAACCGGACAACAGCAAAATTCGTGGTACGTACGACGAAAATATGGACGGCGGTGGCGAGCGTGGCGACCGCATGCCGTCCGGTGCCCGGAGGCGTGACCAATGTCCGGGCAGTGCGGTCCACCCAGGCGGAGAAATAGTATGGCGCATAATCCGCCACAATATCATGGTTAATATCAGGTAGTATCAATAGTACGGTCTTAGAATATAATGTCGAACAACTTCCTTATTTACCATCCCTCCCGATATAAATGATAAACCTTTATTATTTTTCTTTTCTAAATAATTGTAACTTTTTTAATAGTTCCTAATTCAAAAACTCTGCTATGAGATTCCCTCCAAAATATTATTCTCTATAAATTTCATAATAGATGCTTTTACTCTAAAATCAAAATGAAGCTAGTTTTACTTATTCTGCGTAAGCATTGTCTTTGGATGTTACCCGGTAGTTAGACTGAGACAGTTGTAGATGCGGTTATGACGCCGTCTTAATTATATTACTAAAAAATATTAAGCATTATTTGGCCGTTTGGGTGATAATTGATAAGTGATAAGATTGTTATAATTTTCCACATAATCCATGGAGTAATCAAATATTTCATGAATTAATCAATCGTATTTTGCTCTTTTCGCATATGGCTTGATAGCATCAGACTTCATAGATTTTATGAGACTTTAACACAGAGTTGGCTATTCACAATACGTTTCATGAAACTAGNTTCCGGTGGCGAAATTTCGGTGTTCTGCGGTCTCCAAACTTACGTTTCTATCATATTTGCGGTTCCGCTATTTGTATGACGGCCGTCATTACGTTGTTGAAACGGTTTCCGAACTTTTTTCTACGTTTAGCGGCGGTGTTTTACATGAATATTAATTAGTGTCTTCTGGACCTATGGGATATTTGTACCTGTTTTACGGTTTAGAAGTTGGGCCATGTCCTATGTAATTCAGTACGTATCAAACAGTAACGGTGTTACGATGTAAAGTATCGCGATGAATTTTTCATCGTTGCAATGCAGACGGAGACCAGGAGACGCACTGAGATTTGCAACGCACCCTATGTAGCGCGATTTTTAAACATTTTCCTCCGACCGACGGTATTCTTCTTCCGACGACTCCTTCGTCTTCTGATAATTACTAATAACGCGATTCCTCGATCGACCATTTTCCACTGTTGAACGTCGTACTACTATACCGGACACGGTACCGCGTACGGCCGCCTAAACACCAGCGCCGCTCTTCAAGGAAACCACAGCTTTAGGCAGCAATCGTTATTTTATCGCACCACCGCCACCGCGGCCCGTAGGTAGTGTAAGAAGACCGAAATACTATTACCGCGCGGCGTGTACGTACAAATTGTAAAAATAGCCTGTCATCAAGTGTTATCAAGTTTATTGTATTGCCGAGTGAAATATCGAACAAAATAATTCATATTAGTAGTATCAGTCATCAGCGTAACGTCGTTGTGTTCGGTGTTCGTACAATCTCCTTTATATTTTCCATATTTATTACCTAATTATCTGTTTATTATTTACATTTATGGTATCCTAGTAAGCATTCAAGTTTGAAATAACAATATAACTTATAACCAGAGGTCCCTTTCCCATTTAGAGCTACATCACTGCCTATGGATAGGATTAGTTGGAGGCGTATAATTTATTGACTGCTCCAGGGCCCTTTCCCAACTAGCTACGTCACTGTAAGTAAGGTGAATTTAATAGCAATTAGATTCTACTTCCTTAAAATAGATATCGAGATACAAAAATTACATATATGTGTTTATGTAGTCGATGTACTACGCCGTAAAAAAAATTTTAAAACTTTAAACGCAACAGAATCGTTAGATAATATTATATAGAAGCAATTTATTAATTTGTTTAATAAATACTAATACTCACGCTTTCAAAGAATTTTCAAAAGTGAAATGTAAAATATATATTTGAGTAATATTAAAACGAAAATAAATAACAAACTAATATTTTAATTTCAATCCATAATAATGATATAATACATTTTGTTTTTCAACACATGTTTAAAAAACAAAATAAATGTAATATATCGGCAATCCATATGTTATTATATTATAATAGGTACAAATAGGTAATAAAAATTATTATTATAACATTGGGTTTTATGCAAATTTGTACGTTTTGCCTGCAGTTAAAAAAAAAAGCCGATACTGTGGACAGGTGCAGCCATTGTTGTAGTTGGGAAGGTGGAATACATAAAGTTATTTAATGTATATCCGTTACCAACGATAAACCATTGCTGACGAAAAACGATTTGGAGCGAAGTTTAGTTATACACTTTTTGAAAGACCGTAATATTTACGATTTTCGTTAAAATTTGAATTTAAAACTTATAAAAAAAAAAATAAAAATACTACATCACATTCCTCTTTTTTTTTATTTCTAAGTAGAACTTATAAATCTCCTATCAAATTTCAAGCATTTCTATTAAGTCTTACAGTTTTATCCACAAATACCTACCGAATAAAAATGACGTAAAAAACTAGCAAAATTAAAATGTCTATAAATAGCTTAAAAATTAATCTAATGATTTGACAATTTTTCTACGTCATCAACTAGATTAAAAATTCAACAAGAAGGTCTCTTGTCGTTTTCCTATTAGAGCAATTTGTATGGTAGAAAATAGTCGTATACATTTTAAATAATAAATTCATTGCGCCGTAATTTTAAAAAAATCGTATTTTCCGTCTTTTTAGATTTCTTCAATTATTTTCAAAACTATTTCGAATTTAAATTAATTAATTTTTCTAACAGTGGCTATATGTAAAAAGGAACAAAAAAAAGATCTCTTGTCATTTTTTGATTGGAGCCATATTTCTGGTAGAAAACATGACTAGCACAAATTAAAATTAATGAAATCAATAACGCGTGAAGCACCGTAAATATTTGCCGTTTCATCTATAATTTTCTTTCCGGGTTTCCCCAAATATTACGAAAATCCTTTGGAAACTCAAAAAAATGGTCTCTCTAATACATCAACTAGACAAAATTTCCTATTAGAAAAGGAACTAAATCTGGCTATTTAAGTAATAAAAAAAAAATTAAAAGCAGAAGGAAAAAATATACCACCTATGTTTTATCCATTACAAGTAACACTTAATAGTTATTTCTCGGTTTTAAAATTTATTTTAAACTACTTATTTTTCTTAAACTAGTTTTAAAATATAATAATATTTTTTGTACTTGTGTACTTTAACATATCCGTAACCCAACTTAACACGTTGACCACCATAAGGCCGCCGGCGTCCACAATTTTTTTTATTATTCTACTGATTTTTATATAACGATTATTTTTAAGACAAAAGAAAATTATGCAATACATATAAGTATATAACATAATACTAAAATATTAAAATATATCATTATCCAACACATCAATAATAATGAGAAGTTTGTTTTTTAATACAAATTTAATGTTTGTATAATGTCATTTAAATCAAAATTTTTTCCATGATTCTTAAATTCTAAGTTATCTCTTAGAGACTTTATATTTTTAGTAAGACTAATAAGTACAATGTTTGAATAGGTATATCCTAAATTATGTTGTATTTTGCCAATAAATTATTTTTAAATTTATAGTTAAATTATCCATAAATTTGAAAGGTTCATAAATATAAAATGTAATTTTAAAAAGCTGTAAAACAGATAATACAGGTATTCTGGTATAAACATGAACATTTTAAAATTATATAAAGATAGAAACTTATCTATAAAAGATGTAGTTTGCGGTTTACATTTTAAAGAAGACAATTTTTTAAATTATGAATGTAAAATGCCTGATGAGTCAATTAAATACATTGAACGAATACGCCCGGCATTAAGAGAAAATGCTATTCCGATAATATTTTTAGCTTTACCAGAACGATTTTCAAAAGTAGGGATAAAAAGACCGGTACCAAAAACTAGGCAAGAAATTAAAAAAAAGTTTTGTAATACATCAACAAATGACGCCTGGTTCGTTCCGTGCGATTTTTAGTCTTATAAATGACGTACATGTTGTACTTTATATATTTATAGCATAGTGCATAATTACGATCTATACAATTCCTGGGTATATAAATTTATAATCTTTAATTAATATATTATGATGATTTTTGATAAAATAGGTTTATAAATATTAAATATAATAAATTCGTGTATAAAACTCGTTAAAAAAAAGTGTTTTATTATTAATTGAATGCAAATAATTAGCCTTGGTAGTTAAATGCAGAATGTGTATTGCTGCTCTTAATTATAATATTTATCCGATACGGGTATAAATTAATAACTATGTAAAATTTAATTTATAAAACAATATTTTATTATTATTTTACCATGAAAATAATATAAGGTATACCTTTTTATGGTTATATACACATAAAAAATTACTATTATTTATCTATTCATTTGTGTGAGTAACGGTTTAACTGTATTCCCAATGTGGATAAAAATTTCATCCAAGTCTTCCTAACAACTTGTTCCGTTAGAGCGTTTAAAATAATTTAAGAAAACCGTTTTTTTTAAATACCAAAATAAATTGCATTGCAGTTGAATTTACATTATTACCATTTTTATTTCTAAAATTTTCAAATAGATTTTCCAAGCAGTCTTGATTTAGTCTGTATGTGCATAATGTATATCCAGGTTCTTGAATTTTATCCCACAGTTGCAACAATTAATTTATTGTAATTGTCCATCCATTTATAAACTTCATTCGTTGAGACACATCAATATATGTAATATTTCTATTAACAAATTTAGAATTAAAAACACGCATATTAAGGTTGTATAAGTTAATTCTTTAATATTTTCCCTTAACACCTACCAAATTTCATCCGAATCCCCGTTATCTATGACTGCTTTTAGTTTTAAAGTCTGTTTGATATTATTTTTGTATGACCTGTTCGTATTCTCATTCTTTAGTTAATCAACATCATACTTTACTAGCCTGTTTCCGTTTTATTGTTTATCCATCTTCCATAGCTTCACTTTTATCTATATACCCATTAAGAAATGGTCAAAATTTATATCTGCTCCACGTTAGTAATACAGTTTTTAAACCTATTATTGGTTAAAACATGGTCAATTTGGCTTTGTTTTCCGTTCGGGGATACTCATGTGTACTTGTAGATGTCCTTACATGGAAACATTGTACTTTTAGATTCTAAGTGAAGCGAAGGAGGTTATAGTTTTAGTGTTTTGCAATGATGTTTATTTTTTTATTTTTTTTTTCTGTGAATAACTTTTCTACGAGCAATTTTGCTCCGATTTACAATAATAGCAATTTTTCTTAAAGGAAATCTAACTGAAGAGATACTTTAAAATGAGTCATTTTTTAATTTTCCAATGAGTTTTCCCAAGAAATGGGTGTAATGTGGTAAAAATTAGGACATAAAATGCCTATAAATAGCTCAAAAATCGCCATAATGTTTTAAGAATTTAACGAAGACTAGTAAAACAAATATTTGTTTTTTGATAAAATTTGAGTTTCTACGAATATTTTTAACTGAATTACAATAAAAAACAAAATTTAAAATAATGAAACCATAATATTTCCCGTTTTTTTTACGTTTTTTTCGGTTTTACTCAATTACTAAGAAAACTACATTGAAAATCAAAAGCAATTGTCGTGCTTACTAGATTCAAAATATAATAAAAAGTCTTTTGTAATTTTGTAATTTAATTGGCATTTATGTATTAAAAAGCTAACACCTATACATTTAAAATCGACGTTTATAAATAATATTAAATACCTAATTGTATATTGGATTTTTGAATTTTATTAAACCTTAGTCGTTGAAACTTGAAAATATTATTATTATCATATTGTAATAATTGCAATAGAAATAATAGTGAATTCAGTAGAAAATATTAAAAAAAGAAAACAGTCTCACAACGCAAGCGAATAGTATTTAAATTTCCGTTTTGTCATCTTAATATTGTATAATTTATTGTTAGATTTTTTTTTTTTTAATCAGTTAGTCGTTGGTAATAATAATCAACGACAAGACGCAATGACGTGAATTTACGTACTATTTATTTTTATTATACCTCATTAAAACATTAACAGCGAATATAAATTATTGTTATTGACTAATGACTATATTACCTATCTTCCAATAATGTTGGATTTATTTTAAAAAAAAATATTTTAAGAATATATCCGGCTTATAAACAAAATTTGTTGCAACTATATAATGTTAATCGTTTGATGGCGTAATTGTGAATACTTTTTGGAGAGAAGGGAATATAAAAATACAGTGGCTAATTTTTGTCTTGTTGCACACGTGCATTTGAATTAGTTTACTATAAGTAGTGGTTGTGATTGTGGAAATGTAATTGCTTTTAATCATAATACTTATCGAATAAACACATAAATCATATAATACCTATTCATACCTATTGATAAATTATCGGTCAAATTAAACATTATACAATTTTTTTTTTCTTAATAATTTTTACATTTGTATTAAAACTTGGAAACTTGGTATTGAAGGTGACATATAATAATGATAATAGTTTATTTATAATAAATAAATAAATACGGGCAAAAGCCCAATTTCGGCAGATTATAAGTAGATATAAAATAAATTAAGTAATCTTAAGTATACATTAATAAAAAACAATAAAATAATAATAAAGATAAATACAATGATTGTATATTAATTATGGGATCATGTAAAAATCGATATTGGGGTTCGTTACTTATTCGAGGCAGGTTGATATCAATATTTAATATTATATGTTTTGATCACTTCTGAAGCTTCATTGTATACTGAATGTAACTAGATTGCTAACCATGGTAACAATAAGTGAAGTTTCAATCCTTCATTTAATTCGAGGCTATGAGCCTTATCATCCACTTTTATATTGTTATTATAAACATTATATCTCTGTAATTTTGTTAATAATTATTTGTATATGCGTAATGTGTGATAAAATAAAAATGAAGAGTGAGGGGGTTATCGTCCCTATCACCCCCCCCCCTAAAAATCGCTACTGATCAATTCGTGTGTAGTGTATTAGTAATAATCAGTTAGTATTCATCAAATTGTGGTTTGTGTGTCTTGCGTACTCGTATGTTATAAAATACATATTTATATATGGAATATATAACGTCCTAAGTAATAAAAAACTTCGCTCGTGGGTGGGCCAAGTTAGGAAGATAGTAGAGGGGAAATTGAATGTATATCCGTTAGCAACGATAAACCATTGCTAACGATGTTTATGTCAATATGTCATATTATGGTAAAATAATTACATAAGCATTATATATTTTTTTTTAATAATATTTGTTTCATATTGTACCTTTTTCCCATTTTTCCTACGTTTTTCCTAATTTTTCTAATTAAAAAATCAAAAAATGACCTCTTTAGAGTACCACCCCAGTTAAACTTCTTTTGAAAAAAAGTGCTATAATTGAAAATCGAAGAAGGTTTCTTGTAGAAAGGTAGTTTAGATTAGAAAAAATAAAATAAACATCATTGAAAACCATTACGTTCTTTGCTCCGCTTAGAATCTAAAACACATCACACATCATAGTAATATCAACACACTATTTGCTTCTTTCTCTTTCTTTCTTCTCTCTAAAGAAAAAACACACTCCATAGTATACCAATATATCCCTCGCTTCGCTTTGAATTTAAAATATGAAGAATTTAAAATCTTGAGTATTGAAATAATTAAAATGTACAATTTTTTTTAAATATTAAAATCATAAACTATACGGGAAAAACTTCATTCAAAGGACGAACGGGAAAGCAATAATAATATTTAACACTGTAACGTTAAATTCAATGTGAATAAAATAACACAGTCATCATTTTATTAATTTTTAATAGTTTTTTTCTTTACATTCATCTGCGTATATTAAATCGGCAACACCGGTTCTTATAATATTGCCAAGGATTCAAAAATGTATTGCATAATTTTAATTAATATTATCATTTAATAGAATAAATTATAAACAAACAATAGCTACTGAATATAATTATTATCGGCCGATGAAATTGAAGAAAATTAATTTTAAAATTCTACATTTTTCCTGGTCCAATTGTCAATATTTCGTTAGTATTTAATAGTAAAACAAAAATAATCTTTGTAGATATTTAGTTTTTTAAATCAGTGATGAACCTAACCTTAGATATCATACGACATAAGAATATATGTATGAAAAAATGTACGGATAATACTACGAGTAGCAGTATGGTTTGTAACTACGTATAATTTGTTAATGTAACGTTTTAAATCTAATAGGATATCTGGTATAAATTATTTGATGATTCTTAGTAGAAAGAACCTATTTGTTTTACAGAGATATGTTTTTCTATCGAAAGGAATTACTTAAATAGTTGTTCATTGTTTGACCCAGTGGTGACTAAATTTTTTTTACAGTGGGTTTTTTTATTTGTGTTTGGTAGATACACAGTGGATAAAATGTATTAGACTAAAAAGAAATGCTTGAAAATTTAACAGGAAGTACATTATAAATTGTACTTAATGTTCAACAAAAAAAGTTGAGTTCAATGTAGTGTATTGTATCTTTATAAGAATTTTAATATCAAATTTTGACGAAAATTTTAAATAGTATAGCCTTTCAAAACATGTATAATCGAACTTCGCTCCGAATCATTTTTCGTTAGCAAAAGTTTATCATTGCTTACAGATATAAATTAAATAACTTTAATACTTTATACATCCTAACATTCTCAACTTACCACCTCCAACAGTGGCACACCCGTTTCCAATATCAGCTCTATTATGTTTTATGTTTTCTTCCAGAAGTTTAGCTTTTTGTCCGAATACGAAAAACTACTAACGATTGAGAAAATGTAATTGTTGACATTTTCGATTTTGACCAATTCTCCAGACCGTTCACTGAACTTATTGATTTAATAAAAAATAAATGTCTTCTACTGATAATTTCTGTTCTAATATTCAATACTAACGAGATACGAACGATTGGACCAAAAATAATGTAAAATTGAGAAGGGAGGCAGAGATTCGAATCCGACACCATTGATTAAGAAACACTACATTACACCACGAGGACACCATAAATGTGCATGTTGAATTATATTATAACTAAGATACATCAACAGTAAATCCATGGGCGCATTAGAAACACGGACATCCGTGTATCTAGACAGTATTTATTATTTTTTTCAGTGTTATCAATAATATTATTATGTATTACAGCATCTCGAGACATTCTGTCTAGTGTCTATACATTTTCGTATACTTTGCAGTGAAATTACCAAAAGTATTTTTAGATTTGTTGCCCCATAATCAATTACGAAAAATATGAAAAATACGAAACTAGTGATTTTTTCTTCACTGCTAACACGTCGCGATGAAACGCGTTAAAGATTTTGTTATTGTCGTCGTGACGATGACGACACTAATGACTTTGTTGTTGTTCAGTTCCGGTAGCGTTTTTTCTTATGATTCTTATCGGATATCTGATACAGATGGCCTTATTATATACCTATTAAAGGTACCTATTATATAATTTTCAATATAATTGTTTGGTTACAACTTTTATAAAAGCGATTTTTTTTCCGGTTTTTACAGTTTTGATGCATAGGATACACAAAATTATTTAATTTATGTCTTTAAGCATCAAGCAATGATAAACCACTGGGATGGTCACGTACAATTTGTAAGACCGTAATATTTACGATTTTAAGAGAAATTTGATCTTAAAAATTATAAAAATATTACTAAAATAAAGACTACTTTTTTCTTCTTAGCTACTAAGTACATCTTATGTGAACCTCCTGTTAAATGTTCAAGCATTTTTGTTTGCTCAAACAATCGTAATCACATAGCACCTACCAAATAAAATCTACGTGTAAAACTCACAAAAATAAAATGCTAAAGTAAGTACCGGTAATAATTACGATATACTTGGCGGTAAATGGATAAATGTCAAGTATTTGGGCGCGAACACGTCACTTACGTGTAGGTAGTTATATTTATATAGGAAGCGTAAACTCCCGCGCGTATGGTTTATTATTGTACCTATCTATTTTTCGCATAATTCGTTAAGCTTTACCTGAATAATATACACTCACATTGTTCGTTAAAAGATTTTAGATTTATTCACTCAATAAATCCATTTCGTAGTTGCATTAGGTAGGCATAAATATAAATCACAACAAAAATACATACTCGTATTATAATATGTACAGCATAATATTGTTTTACATTTCGTTCGAGGTTGTGTTTTTGCGTAATTTCAGATACGATATTATTTCTCAGTTACGAAATGACGCTCCTGTTGCTTATATTAACTTTTAATCTAATTAGGAGCATACTGAAAACAAAATTGTTACATTATTAAATATTTTATAATATTCAGATTAGAGCTCGGAATGTATTTGATTCTGAACAAAGCAAGCCGCAGGGATTGTATTGGTTTTACTATATTGTGTTCATGTGTGTTTTTAAGCTAATTTTCTAGTACTTTTCTACTTTTCAGTATTGCGGATTTTGTATTCTTTGAATTTTTTCTCTAATGTCTGTGCCTGTAATCTAAACAGTTGCAGAGATTTTAAATTTCAATTATTATGTTTTTTCATGGCAATTGCAGTATTTAAATTGGTTTAAACTACTAAAGTAAGTATCTATTAAATACAAAACGATATTTGATTATAAAAAAAATATTTCGATAAGTGGTCTTACTCCTGCACAATTTGACGCAATATTAAACATCCGGGTAATTTAACTAGTCGTTTATATTTGAAAAATCGTATCGCAACACAATATATTATCGATTAATCAACGTAATAGTTACAGTAAAACTACTTACCTAATAATTAATAATAATATTATCATCGTTCTTTTTAATTTATCTGTCTAAAACGCTTGTTTTAACTAATATGGGCACATGCGTGAGGGGGCAAGGGGTAGCTGTTCACTTATATGGACTGAGTTTTTTCTAAATTAAGTATAAAAAATTGAGGTGATGCTAGAGGCGGGTGTGGTCATAGTTGTAAGTGGGTAGTTGGGAAGGTAGGAAACATAAAATTATTTATTATACTTGTAACCAACGATAAACCATTGTTAACGTAAAACGATTCGGAGCGAAGTTCGGTCATTTATGTTTTGAAAGGCCGTAATATTTACGATTTTCGTCAAAATTTGATTTGAACCACAGAATTATTAAATTGGTTAAGTATCCCATTTATTTCCATGAAATGTTCACTGCAGCACTTTTGATCCAATACTCCATCGCGTAATGAAAGGTTCTGGGGAAGGTGACACGTGCCACGATATCTTTTCGAAAACTCGATAACATGTAATAATACAAATAACAACGGCTGTAGAAATCGTCCGGTGTGTTTAATACATAAAAATAAGATAACATGCCATTTACATAATCAATGAAATATGCATACCTGGTAGAAAAAGGCGATTATAACTTTTTGTTTTTGTATTGGGTATCAGCAATTCATTTTATTTTTACCTGTAAAAATATTATTTCATAATCATTAATTAGACTATAAGCATTAGCCAAAGTGTAATATTAGTATTATTATACCTATTAAATTCACTCATATATAATTTAAATTTCTATAAATAACTAATTAATATTAATCTAATATTGTAGATGATATTGATTAATAAATGTTAAACGAATGATATAATTTTGTTTGTTTTAATAGTGTCCCTTCTTCCCCTATTCTCCTAGAAAACATATCTACAAACGCTAATCCAAGTAAACAACATGTAAAATAAAAAAATTACCCCCTCCCCCTGTTATTAAGTTTCGCGCATGCCATTTTGAGTATAAGCAGCTAATGATTAATTAGGTCTCGAGAAATGGCGTACCCAGGAATTTTCAATGTGAGAGAATATGGTGAACAATAACCATGAATACACCATAAAAATTGAAAAAAACCTAGAAAGAACGGGCAAGTTTTTCAACACCTGTAATTTTTAGAGCACAATTGTTGCAATATTTTGCAGGTAAAAAGATAAAAAGGGTATAATCATGCTTTTTTTTTAGTGCAATCGTGTTGCGTTTTTCGAGGGTAAAATTTCAAGTTCTTGAAAAGGTTCAGTGAGCGAAAGAAGTTGGAATATCCTACTATTATATAAAGAGACAACGTTTGTTAGTTTATCCGCAAACATTTTAAAAACTACTAGTTCGAATTGAAGTCATTTTTGTGTTGGATAGTCCATTTATCGAGGAAGGCTATAGGCTATTGACATTCATCCCTTATTGAAAATCATCCCCCGAAATTCGGTTTTTAGGTATTATTATTAGGTATTATTATTAGGTATTATTTTAGGTATTATTTATTTATTTATTTGGATTACCTTAGTAACATGAATGAAATGAAAACAAATTTAAAAGGTTGGTCAACACCTTATAGTATCTATAGTATCAATAGTAATTAGCGTGTTGTCGTTAGCGTGCCCAGAAATTTTCAATGGGAGGGAATGTAACAAATAAAAATCGTGAATAAAGCGTGAAATCGTCTTCTCTACCCAACTCGACTATGGAAATTTAAAAGCCGGAAACTAAAAAAAAAAAAATAAATAATAATTTCTATTCAATATATATACATATGTATACATCAAGCTATTCTTCGGAAATTAACTCGAATTTATGTGTTTCGATACTAGAATTTAATATAAATCTGTGAGCAGCGATAATCCATTGCTAACGAAAAAACGATTCTGAGCGAAGTTAAGTTGATAGTGTTGCTTTGTCAACAATATTATATTATGTCATATTATGGTATAATGATTACGACATTACGATATGACAACAATGATTGTTTAAAAAAGATTTAAAATAATAAAAACGGTTGCCAATGACATTTTTTTTTTTAATCTTTCAATCTTTTTTAACCTAAAGAATCAGGTTTTCCTCATAATCTCGAATATTAATAAAAATGTTAAAAAATGACCTCTCTAAAGTGCCACCCCGAGAACATTTCCTTTCAGAAAAAATGCTATACTTGATAATCGGAGTAAACTTTCTGATAGAAAAAGTATTCATACAAAAAAAAAATTAACATCTTTATAAAACCAATATATTCTTCGTTAAACTCAGAATCTAAAGAAAGCTGAAGAGTTTCAAACAGAATTATTGATCATTAAATTGTTTTGAGATGAAATATCAAGTACAAACAAATTGTACTTATAAAATTTATATGGATACTATTTGGTTTCTAGTATCCTTATTGAATAGATATATATTATCAAAAATGTTTATAACCCTTTAATCTTTATATAATATAGCTGTTGTCGGCAGGTATTACTTCAGGTAATCGTAAAAAAATGTAAATTGTCACTACAACGATGATATTAATCAGTCTAATTAGTTTTCAAGGAAGACCGCGAAAAACGCATGAAATAAGCGTAATTGCGCAGTGTTGAAGGTCAAAAAAATATAATAATATACTGTACTTTACTAAAAAGATTAGGCTACCGATAAAATATTCTCTTATGAACTCATCGGTCTGACAATTTATTCGGCTAATCTCGTAAAATCATTATCATCATCATAAAATAATTATTAGTTAGGTAAATGTGTTTTTTTTCTGGTTTTTTCCGAGTAGAAAACTTTAAAATAATTACGTACTTGTCCGTTTATACAATTATATACAAATTACTCGTATTATAGCTGCATGCGATTGAAAATATATCGAGTTAATGTAGCGTCAGCACACTGTCACAAACATGTAAACAATTTAATATCTAAAAGTGTGAAAATCAGCGTATTTACTAATATTAAATATTTCTGTGCCGAACTCGAAAGTTGTTTAATATCTTTTGGAAAACCATAGCCCTCCCTAGCAAATTTGTTGTGAGGAGAAATTGCACATTATACAATAAATACTGCAGAAAAAAAAAACATCTGATACTGGAAACGGGTGTGACCACTGTTGTACGTTGGTAGTTGGGAAGGGGGGTACATAAAGTTATTTAATTTAGACCTATAACCAACGATAAACCATTGCTAACAAAAAACGATTCGAAGAGGAGGTTTACATAAATGTTTTGAAAGGCTGTAATATTTACAATTGTTGTCAAAATTTGATTTTAAAAATAACATAAAAAAAAAAAAATTACTACATTAATAAATTCATTTTTTTCTTACCACTAAGTGTAATTTATGAAGAATTTCCGGTCAAATTTTCAAGCATTTATTTAGCTAGTGAACTAAGATATTCATTTCTTTTATTTCTTTGTTCTAGTCTGTGGACACGTTTTTTTCTTTGTAAACTTGCTCCAATTTTTACATGTCGTAACTTTTATGAAAGTTCTCTGGATTGTACTTTAGAGAGATTGTATTTAAATCATGTTTTGATTTTTGACGCCATTTTTTAAATAAATGCATTTAAGTGAGAAAAACCGTAGGAATTTCACGATTTCATTATTTTATAAGAACACGAACGATGTTATCTACCAGAAAAAAAAAATGATTTAATGGAAAAATAATTTTAATTTTTGGGTGTTTTTGTTGTAATTTGATTATAAATACACGTAGAGACTTGAAACTTGGTAATAATACTTATATTGGACTTACCTAGAAGTGGTAAAATATTTAAAACCATCGGACGACTTTTTTTCTTTTTTTTAATAAGCGTTTTGTAATCAAATTTAAACGAAAATCGCAAAAAAAAAGACAGCACTTCAAATTTTGTATTACTGAATTGCGCTTGAAATCGTTTTTCGTCAAGGAATGGTTTATCGTTGCTTACAGATATAAATGAAATAACATTATATATCCAACCTTCCCAACTTCTCACCTATAACAGTGGCTACTCCCATCCCCAGTATCAGCTCTTTTTTAATTATACTCTTATCACTATATCTCGTTTGTATCAGTTATTATATTTAAATTACACACAGAAATAACTGACGAGATTGATAATTGTAATATTATTCAATTATTACGATAAAGATAATAAGGAAACATGACTTGTGGAATGTGGATACTGCCTAATACAAGACGTCAAGATGTATAGAATAAAAAAACAGTAGGAGAATTTAAAAAAAAAAAATGGCGTACAATTGCGGTGTCCTTTAAAACAAATCAATGGGTTCGATGACAAAACTAATTTTCATAAATACCTATATTCAATAAAAAATATATTAAAATAGGTATACAACGTACAACCAAAATACCGAAATGGAAATTTTAAAATACTTTTTAATTTTTAGACATTTTTGCGAGGACCTTCCTTTTTTTATCTTTTGTATGTTGCAATTTTTAAAGTAGAGTACAAATAATATTATGATAAGTGCCCCCATACACCAGTGACGGTTCTACCATATGGGCAGGGTGGAAAGCTGTCCGTGCCAACATTTTTGTTATTTACATTTTAATATTGAATAATGTGTGTAAGTAAAATTATTACTATTTCCGTCACTGGAATATCAAGCTACACTGAATTGAAGAGGATAGCTGGGAACAAGAAAGTGTGGAGTTGGCGCATATCCAACTGCCAAACAAACCATAAGGTTGACAACTAGAGAAGAAGAAGTACAATTTAAGATTATTAGCCGTAAAAATGTAAATATATTTTTAGGTTTTTTTTTGCAGTATTTTATCACTTCGATAATAGATTCCATTATAGTTTACACCATATATATTCTAAAATAAGCAATTATATTTTGTATTTTAATATTCATCGGTTCTTGTTTTTTTTTATGTGTTTTAAAAAAAATTCTACTAGAAATCTTGGTCCGATCATTAACTACTTGGGTTGTTTCTGGTAGAAAATTTTGTCTAGTTTGTTAATTGAGTGGTTTATTTTTAAATTTCCCTATAGTTTTCATAATAGTTGGAAACAAGTAGCAAACACGAAAAAATATACAATAATTGTAGAAATTTGAAATGTTCACCTTCACCCAATACTTAAATTAGTACTTTTTAGATTCTGAGTGTAGCGAGGAATGTACTGGTTTACTATGATGTGTTATTTTTTTATTTGGTAAGTATTTTAGTTTTTATTTGGTAGGTACTAGGTATTATATGAATTAAAAAGTTTGATCAAACAGAAACGATTGAAAATTGGTGTCGTAAAAGTGGTAAAAAAATAAATAATGATCGTAATGTAGCAGTTTTTTCTTATAAGTATTGTAAGACCAAATTTTTACGAAAATAGTTAAAATTACAGCATTTCAAAACATTTATAACCGAACTTCGCTTATGTAAAACCATTGCTAATGGTATCTGTGAAAAAAAGTGAAAAGTTACGTAATATACAGTAGTGGCACAGTATTAACAGTATAATAGTATAAATGTATAGTAATAGTTATTAAATATAATAATAATAATAATAATACAGATTTTTTCCGATATTTTTTTTGATTCTAATAAAATTCGTGCGCTCAACAATTTGATTACCATGTGCATCTTATTATAAGCTGCCGAAAATCGCCATTGAGATAAAATCGCTTGTGAGCCGTTTACCTACACCGTGCAGGTTTACTGAGAAGAGTCGCGAGGGAAAAAGTTGCTAAACCGAGATGCGAGATGCACAGCGTAAGTATATTATTAGTTTGTGTTATTGTTTTAAATTCCAAGACCCCCACACGCGATTTAATAATTCAAACGATTATAATATAATTATTTCGACGGTCGGTTTAACATTGAAATAAGCCTTAGTGTACGCGTATTCCTTTGGAATTCAGGGTTAAATATAGTTGAATCGTAATGACTCGGTTATTACCGCGAAAAAAAAAGATATGATCGATAGTTATTATTATAAGTTATAAGTGACTACTATGCCCGAACTACCGTCCGGATTTAGTGTACCTATTATTTAAAACATTGTTTTCATTAAGAAACGATTTTAATGGGGTTGCAACTTTTAAACTCTGTGATACAGGATAATTTTTTTCATGCCTTATTTTATATCATGGCTAGTTAAATAAAATAATGTAATTCCAACCTAATATGTATATTACTAGGTATGACTCAACAAATAATCTTCTACATTTTATTTATGCCTTTTAGATTCTGAGCGGAGCAAGGAATGTGTTGGTTTTACAAAGATGTTTTTTTTTTTTTTTTAAACTGTGAGCAAATTTTCTACCAGAAGACTAGCTCAGATTTCTAAGTGTAGCACCTTTTCTAAAGGAAATCGGTGTAGGGAGGCACTTTTAGGGGGTCATTTTTTGATTTTCTCATCAAATTTGAAAAACCGAAAAAAAAACGGGAAAATGTACGAAAAATATTAATAAAATATTACGATTCTTTTTTCCTATTCATATCTTTTCAACCAGCAATTTCGCTCCAACATAATTAAAGCAATGTTTATGAAAGAAAATTTCACTAGGAAGGTACTTTAAAGAAGTAATTTTTTTGATTTTCCCAAGAGTTTTCCCAGCAAATGTGAAAAACTGGAATAAAATATGGGAAAACCAAGAAAAAATTAAAAAACTGGAAAAATCGGTACAACATTTAACAAATACGTTTAAAAAAATTATATAAAGCCTATTTAATTATTTTACTATAAAATGACTTATATATTGTTGGCAAAGTATTATTATCAACTACTGAACTCCGCTCAGAATTGTTTTATCGTAAGTAATGGTTTATTGCTGCTTACAGGTATACATTAAATCATCTATAACAGCGGTTGTACCCGTCCTCATCATCCTAGGATGCCAAATTAACTCAGAAAAATATAAAAGTTTTACAAAAATTGCTAGTTTCTCCTTTTTTATGTTAAAACTACAAGGAAAATAAAAAATGACCTCTTTAATGCACTAACTAGATGGAATATGCTACAAGAAAGTCCTTATTATGTTTTTGATGGGAGCTAGATTTCTAGGTAGAAAAATTACGCATAGATAAAAAAAAAAAATAAACATCTTTGTAAAACTATAAGCTTCTTTGCTCCACTAAGTATCTAAAAATATTTAGAGAATATTTTAGAAAAACAGCTTGAAAATATTTTAATCTTTAAATATTGTAATCCGTATTTAAACTCTAATTTTAAATTAGACGCCGCGATTTATAATACAATAATAACGTAAATTTACTATGTTGCCCGTTAGTTTTACTAATAATAATTTTACTTTATATTTTAAGACAGTCAATGCGAGAAAACCTATCTATATTTTATGTTTTGTGTCTTAATTTTAGCTTATACTAAGATAGGCATATCAATTCACACGTAATGATATTTGATTGATTAAATGCCGAATGAACACATAATTTTAGATCATTGCAGTTAAATGTCTACCTAATCCGCGGGACAGAGCTAGTTTACAACATTATATAATATTATGTCCAGTCAGAACATAAACATGAACGAAATATAGTTTCCGTAAAAAAAGATTGTAAAATTTAATTTTACTGTATTAAGTTTTAGTAACGCAAGGAAAAAAAAAACTCGAATGACGTCACTACAGCCCGGCAATTCACGCGAAACAAATATATTACGAGAATGACGGAGCGGCAACAACAATAATAATATTATAAAGAATATTCGGAACTAAATATGCAGCTAATTTTGTTTTTCTACTTTTTTTTTAAATACACATTATAAATATTTATCCGCGCGAACAATGTTAATATTGCAGCGGACGAAAATTTATAACAAAAGTATTGTTGTTGTGTAGTTATTTTACTGTCTGGCGAGCATATTTCTACAACTCCGTGTAATCGTACAAATCGTTGGCGTATTTGTTTCATACTGTTTAGTGTTCCGCCGGCCACTTAAAACGTTTAGACGGTTTAGAATGTTTAAATAGCTCAAATTTTCCGGACAACAACATATCCATTGTCGGTATAAACGACCATGGTGCACTATGATAATATTAGAACTCGGAATTTACATATAGGATTTAGGCATTTTACTGTAGAATTCATCCAATTTATCGAATAAGATTAAAGCTACGAAATATTATTAATTTCATAACTGTAAACGCAACTGTAAAGTGTACATTTTTTATATTTTGCCACATAAAATGCATAATTCCTATCAATTTTAGAAAATATTGTGCATATTCACACGATTTCTACAAAATAGTATTGTAGGTTTAAACTAATAAATTTATTAAATTCTGTTTCTGAGCGCAGTGAGGAATGTATTGATTTTACTATAATCTGTTTTTTTTTTTTTATTGTGCATCTGTGTAAAATAATTTTGAAATCATATTTTATATAGTTGGTGTATTGAGGACATCATGTATTGATTTTTTTTTGCAGTTATCTTTATAAATGGGAAAAATATGAAATTTTTCGACAATAACGGTTTCCTTATTTTCAATTTTTTTTTTTTTTTTGTTATAAATAATTCGGTTTAAAATAATCGTAAAGACCTGAAATTTTCACTGAATACTTATATTAGTCTTTTCTAGACATGGTAAACCATTCTGGCGATTTTAAAGCTGTTTATAGGTATTTGAAATTTTTAAGAGTTTCAGTATTTGATTCTATGTGGTAGATATTTTTATATCTACCACGAAACGAGAAACAAGGACGACAACCGCAACAGGAAACTGTCCAACGCGCGAATTTATCGAATGCTGGATAGAAAGTTTGCGTGAAAAAATCAATGTGATATCGAGTAGTAATACGAGTATAGTATTGGTTTGTTTCATGTTTTCAATCCAAAGCAATTTTTTTTTTAAAATTATATTGTACTTTTGACTCGATCTTTCCCGATCATTGTTTCACTGAGATTATTCCGTGCAACTATAATTTCCTCGATCAAACAGAAAAACATCGTGGTGTTATACTTATACGAAGGGAGCTTAGAAGAGGAGAGTAAATTAAGTAAAAAATCTTCATAACGAGCATCTTTAGTGAATTTTTTTCACACCGTAATCATCAATGAAAACAGAAATTTAGAAAATAAAACCCCTAAAATCAAGGATAATGAACTGCTTCTATTTCCGGAGAAAATTTGAGAAATAAAAACAAAGAAATCGATTCTCCGTGACGAATGCAGCCATAGTCAGAAGACGTGATAACAAAATTATAACACTATAGGTACAATTATTACGATAATATTGTACGGCGTCTACGACAAGACGATTATTATGCCGTAATTTTCATTAATGTGCCGGAGAGACGTGGATAGGTTCCGGCCAAGGTTAGGCTCGCGCACGCGCGAACGCGCTCAACCGAACCGACGGTGGCTCATTGAAATGGCCGGACGCCCGGCCGGTACCGAACACTCCGACGCCAAAAGCCGGACGGTCCTCTATACGATACCCGCAGTTGGAGCACACGGCGGTCGACATCAGGTTACATAGGGAACGTCCGTTTTTCGTCGCCGGTTTTGATACGTGATTTTAGGTCGAAAAAAAAATTAACTATATAATATATATTATATTGTTGATGGTTTTGTTTTTCTTCACGATATCCGGACGATCACCGCGACGACACCCGAGTCCCAGAGTACGATAAAACGTCGACCGTCCGACATACCTTCGATTTTGAGTTTTTACTAAGATTTAACCGGTAACCGTAATATTATAATATTATCAACATCATCATGCGAGCTGCAGTGTCCGTATTGTTTTTGTTGGCCGCCTTGTTCGCCTGTACCGCCGTCGGCCAACCGGTCAAAAGCAGCAGATTGGGTAAACATTTTTGCACACTATTCTTAACAAAAACAAAAAAAAAAAAAATCCAAAATTTAAATTTCGATCGTCGTTTCCACTTATATAATCCGTGGAACAAAATTTCCGAAACCATAGACAAAAGTCGATATGCCAATGATCAAATTTTTGGTGACAATTTGGAACCAAAATTATACAGGTACATCGAATGAGCCTTTATAATAAACTGTATAATAGTATTCGATTTCATAATTTATTTTCGATATTATAATGCGCAGCATCGTATATAACGCAGTAAAGTAAAAGTGTGTACAATTTACTACTGGATGTTTTCCGTTTAAAATATTTAAAAAAATATTACAGTCTGCATCACTCTTGTTTCCTGGATATTTCGATCCTATCATTTTATTAGATTAGGAACCTAACCTAATCTAATAAAACGTTTTATCGTTTTACAATTTTTCGAAACGTAATATTTTTCACGGGCCTGTAGATGTGATCGAAACATTTAGAATAGCATAAAAGGTTTAAAATCTATATCATATATACTATCATCATCATTCCTAGCTTAATGGTTCAGGTTTAGGACCTGCGTTGCTACTAGTAAACCTTTCTATTTTTCTCTTACCAAAGTCCAATCAAACGTTGCACTCCCATCTATCAGTCTCACATTCTTTTCTACGGTATCTTTCTATCTTGTTCTTGATCTTCCAAGTGGACGTTTAATATTTATTTTTCTTATCGGAACATTCTTTAATATATCCATCAGCTCTACACGCGTGTCCCAGCAACTATAGACGTTTATATCTTATGATATATGTGAGTATATTGGTTTTTTCATTTAGGCCATACAGCTTTTCATTATGTCATTTTCATATATTCTTCTTACACTGGTCAATAGATATTTCTTAAGATGTTCTTTTCCTATAATATAGCAAGTTTTTTATTGTCTTTTTTGTTGTGGACCAAGTCTCACATATATAATATCAATAGTAAATAAGCTAGAAACGAATATAATAATATCATATAAATAATATTAATAGTTTAACTAGAAATAATATACATTTGATAGCGTCCATTCTAAATAATAGCTCAATTATAATTATAGTTTTAATAAATTGTTATGAAATATGTGTGACAATGATTTCGATAAGATTATATTGCCAACCAGAGACACTGCAGGTTCGTGTTGTACATTGACTACAGTCCCGATTCGTACATAGAATACTCCGGTTTTATATTATAGTGAAGCACTCTTCTGTTTTGGAAAACAAGTACGAACAACGTCAACGTGTTTGTTTTCAAAATATGTTCAAGACCGTTCAATCAAACTCTAGTCGGATTTTGAACACGAATTTCTATCCCCCCCCCTTTCATATATAAACTGTAAACAAATCCACCTGTTCGGTATTAAAAGTACAGAAAAATTCTGCAAAACGGGGGAAAAATGTCGTCTTCGATACGGATTAAAACTATTCAATACAAACTAAGTTCACGTAGCAAAAACAAAAAAAAAAAAAAAAAAGAAAAGAATCATTGGTATTATCGACCATCGAATGGTTTCCGATATTTTAAAAAACGCAAATAGATCTATTGTTTCAGAAAAGAAATGATTATAAATATTTATCTGAGACATTTTATATGCCTAATGTAAGTACAGTCGGATTACGCATTCCGAAGACAAACCGACGACTTCAAAAATGATAAAAACGTAAAATGGGATAGTGATGCTTACCGAAAAATAAAATAAAATATTTGAGTATATGTATAAAAAAAATCGTTCTGTTGACAAAGGTTTTGTTAGATTCGCGTCGGAATTTAATAGATACGTCGGACATTTCTTTTGTTCATGTTTTGTATGCAATACGCTTCGGGGTTTTACTATCTTTATTTTTTAAACACGCTACGTAAATAAATACAATTATGATTAAATTATTGTGTTGTTTATATCGTTTCAGGCAAGTACGTAACTTTGTGCAGGGTTTCAGACGCTGAACTAGATAAATGCATGGTCAAGGCCATTCAGGACCTTTTGAAATATTCTAAAACAGGTAAATAATAAGAATTCGTGTCCTCTAAAGTTATCTTAAACTTATATTATTTATCGTTTTTACATCAATTCATACCACACGCATTCACATCTGTTCAAAACGTATACTCCGATCGATAAATCTTTAAAAATAAAAAAAAAATTGAAATACTTGTTATGTATTTTTTAATTTATTCAGTGTGTTGTATCGGCGATTTTATTTCCTATGTAATATATTATATATTATTATTATAATAATATTTTATTAACAATCTATGTCTCGTGTATGCATGCATATATTAGGTATACCCGAACTTCGTATACCTCCATTCGAACCGTTCGTCATTGAAGAGTTGGATTTAAAAATATTCCAAGGTCTAGGTGACTCTTTATTCGGTAGGAATATCCAGAGAAACGAAAAATCTAGGTCGTTCGCGCGCAATTTAATCGCTCATCATTCTTCGGAGTTCATTATGCACAGCCTCAAGTGAGTAAAAAATTTTAAAATTTAAAAAAAAAAGACATAATAATGTAATACTCTTTTGCACAGTTAAATTAAATCGATTTGGTATATTAATATGTTTTTTCAGAGCGGACATTGAAAAGAAACAATTTTACATCGACATGTCTTTCCCGAAACTGAACATAGAGGGCGAGTACGACGTGAACACGCAAATGTTCAACATACCGATCAAGAGTACGGGACCGGTATTCATAAATGCCAGTGCGTATACAATAATTACAAATTATTTTTTCAAAAATTACGCATAGTCCAACATTTTTTTTTTGTGACGATCATCATCTAAAATAATCGTTTAGAAGTTTGAAATATTGATCGTAAGTATTCAAAAACATTTTTGGATGTCTACCTTTAGTAGAAATAATTTATATCCGGCAGGCAAGGACGAATCGCTCATCGATTCTCGTGATTACACCGATTTGTTTGAACGTGTAGATATTGGGAATAATTTAGTCGCCGTATTATATAGGTACTCGAATACATTTAAGTTAAAACCTTAATCGCTATTTAGTCGTTTAGTCGTAAAATTGATTCGTTATTTATTGTTCATACCTAGGTATTATATAGGTGATTCATTCAAATATTTCTAACCGATTATGGTGGCACTGCAGACATTGTATAAATAATAATATTATTGTAAAATAATAGATGTGCCGTAAATCGTAATAATCGTTTAACTCATAAAAATATCGTTATATTCTCGAAGCATCGAATTCTTCTCGAAAAGAATCGATCGGTAATAGTATAGTAATTATGAAGTTTGGATTGAGAAATCGTCTTCAAAATATTGACCGAAAAATAATTTGGTAGAAATTTGAAAACATTACAAGTATACTTAAAAAAAAAAAAAGAGCCGATACTGGCCGGTGATGGATGCGCAACTGTTTTAGGTAAACAATTAGGAAAGGTACATTAAGTTATTTTATTTATATCTGTAAGCGACTATAGACCATTGCTAATAAAAAACGATTACTATTTTACAGTGAAGTTCGTTTATACATGATTTGAAAGGCTGTAATATTTGAGATGTTCATCAAAATTTGATCTCAAAACCATTATGAAAAAAAAAATTACTCATTAGACTTACTTTTTTTTTTTTTACCATTAAGTACAGCAGGTAATAAAACTCCTGTTAAATTTGCCAACATTTATGTCGGTCAAACAATTATATCCACAATTCCAGATAGTACCTGCCAAATAAAAACTATGTACAAAAATCGCAAACATAAAATATCTATAAAAAGCTCAAAAATCATCAAAATGTTTTGAAAATTGTACTATGTCTAGAAAAACTAAATATGAGTTTTCTGCCAAAATTTATAGTATCTTCGAATATTTTTAATTAAATTATATTCAAAGAATATAATTGAAACATAAAAAAGCACGATTTCCGTAAACTTTTCCATTCTTTCTAAGTTTTTTCCGGTTTTGCCATTTAATAAAAAAACTACACGAAAAATCAACAAGCTTCCTACTCACTAACTAGATTAAAAATGTAAAAAAAAAGTCACTTGTTGTTTTTCTATGTAAGTAATATTTTTGGTACAAAACATAAACCATACAAATTTAAAATAAAGGGATAATAATGCCGTAAAATTGTCAGTTTTCATTTTACTCTTTTTTAGTTTTTTAGTTTGCCACAGTTATTATGAAAACTGCTTAGGAATCAAAAAAAGACTTAACTACTCCGCAACTAGATCCAAAATGCAACAAAAAAAGTCTTATGTCGTTAGATTAAAGCAGTATTTCTGTTAAAATCATAGTTCGTCAAAACTAAAAACCATGAACACTATCTGTAACGCTGTGATCACCATAAATATTTATCATTTTTCCTAGAATTTTATTTCCGGGTTTTCCCAATTATTTTAAAAACCCCTTGGAAAATCAAAAAATTATCTCATTAATGCACCAAATTGATCTAAAATATAACAAACACAAAAAAAAACACCCATATCATAGTAAAACGAATAGACATCACGCTCCATTCCGAATCTAAAATTCTCGAAATAAACTCGAATAGTTCAAATAGGCACAGGATGCGCGAAAACTCGGAATATCGGATCAATTCGATCATTGGGTCACTTTATGGTTTTTATTTTATTCAAACAAGAGGATGAAAAAACGGACAAAATTCACCCGAAAATTGTGTACTTCTCAATTTATTTCAGAAGTGACGGCTTCTAAATTTTCGACCTTGTTTATCGGTGTCGGATCACAATAATAATACAGGAACAGGTTGTAATATATTACCTAAAAATCAAAGTTAAAACAATACAAAACCGCACAAATTATTATGTATCGGCAATGAGCCGAGTTTTTTTTTTTAATTACACCACTTCCACTAAAAATTAAACGATAGCTAATTAATATGACTAGCTAACTACTGTTCAAACTATTCATCTCGATGGCTAATTATTTTTAAGAGACGATTCTGGATGTTAAATTAGATTTTTTATGAATTTATCGACTAACCGCAAGGGGAGAATAATAATTAATTGTTTGAAAGGGTTGTGAGCGTTTTTTCAAATTTTCTCTAATTTTGTAAGATTTGATAATGATTTTATTACTTTTGGTAACTAATGGCTAACTAATTTTATAACTAATGGCCTTTTAATGATAACATTTTCCATTAATCTATTGATATTTATAGATAACCATCCATTTAAGAGGAGGGGTACGGTCCTTTATACGGACGAATATGACGTTTTAGACTAATAAGCTGAAGTAAAATTCACTCACTATCGCTTACCCAATATTAATTTTAAAAACATATTTGAATTCTTTGATTCTGAGAAACATTCGTTAATTTTATTTTTATTTAGTTAATTTAGTAACTACATAACGAGTTGCCTTTTTTTCTTTAACTAAACTCGTACTTGACAGTGTCACAAAAACAAAAATATTTTTTCTATAAAACACAAAAAAAAGAAGTATAAGTATATGACGTCAAATCATTTTTCAAAATATAAATTGAACTACTTTAAGTATGTTTATTTTTCTCCAGCTTATTGGTCTAAATATATGAAAAAACCATTAGCTTTTAACTGTCTTAACGCAGTAGTATAAAAAACAATTCATTCATCGAATTCCCCAGTATAAATACACCGCGGAAAATAAATAACAATCGGATGACCTTCGTCTCACACTCATATTACTATATTACTATATTTATTTTATCTTTATATACAACTTAGTACAAGTTTAAATTCTTCATAACTAACAAAAATATATAAATAATTTATTCTTCCTCTTCGTCATTTGACATTATCCCACATCCTATACACGTATTTCCATCATCCTATATCCATCATCTATATAATTTTTATAAAAAAAATCAATAACAATATTCCATATATTCTACTTGGATGAATTCTAGTCAAACATATTTTCAGGTCTTCCTCTGATTTTGATTTTCATCTAAAATCTGGCCCCTATCTTTTGATTTTTTGGACCGTTACCATTTTTCATTCTCTTAACATAATGCCTATACCATAATAATTCTTTCTCAATTTCGCTGCTATACTCGTTATTCGATATTAGGTTAACTCGTATGTAATCATTCTTAGAATCCTATAACATATCACAATTCCACTCATCTTAACAATTTATTTATTTAAAAAAAAAAACCACCAAGCATAATTCTCGGGCTGTCCCAGTAATAACAATAAATTTAGCAAAGTTTTCCATTTATTTAATACGAAAACTAATTTATTAACTATACAATGTACAATATTATTAATATTAATACTGCCTATACTAATATTATTTCTATGCTTATTATTAATTTACTACAATTTTATTACGCACAATTCGAAACGGTCGGCGATAACTATTAATTAATGGTCATTATGTAAGGAAAAACACATATAATTGTTGACGTATTGTATCGTGATTTTAAATTTTGACTCTCAAAGCCAGTTTCAGACTCTACGTCTTTTACAATTAACTGAAAATCAAAAACTAATGTTTTGTAGTGTGGTAATTAGCTAAGTAACTACAGAAATTATGTAAAAACTGTATCCAATGATTTTGATTGCGCATTTATTTTAAATTTCGGATTCCAAAAAAAAAAGTGTCTCAGACAAAATTTCCATTTTGAAATCGGCTCTAATTTTGATTTAATTAGACAACGAAATAATTCGGGCCCGTTACAAACTTTATAAACGAGAGCCACCGGGTTATATGTTAGAATAAATTATTGCCATTGTAATTATTTTGTTTGTATGTCAAATTGTTAGGTAATTGTTTTCGTGTTAATTAGAATATAGAATAGTGGGGTTAGGCAAGGAGAAGTTAGCGATTATTCCGTTATTAAAATAATTATAATATTTATGTATCTAAATAAAATAAACAAACTGCTCAGTTCGAACAGTAAACCAGCTAGGTAATTATTATTATTAAATTGTACATATCGCGAAAATAAAAGTAATAATGTTGTTTTTAACACGATCTTATATTATTATGTTTTTTTTTCAATGCTAATATTAATGCTAATAAAAGAGTTATGACTGTGGAGTCGTAAAGTAAATACCTATGAGACTTAACGAGTGAATCACTGTAACCGGTGGTCCGTCACAATTTAAGGAAAACAAATTTCAAAAGACCACGGCACCCAGTTGAAAACCACTGGGTTGAATGATCGAAGATTGTCTCTATATTTATCCTTATGGCTTATAGTTTTTTTTTTAAATCTGCAAATGTGTTTATTCCCATGTCTTCCATAACTTCATAAACGGCGTCCTTGGCATTCACTTTCCTGTTAATAATTGCTCCTTCGATTATAACTATTACCCAAGCCTATTCCTTGAAAAATGGCCAGTCCATTTCTTTCTCCTTTGTCTTGTTTGCTTATGGAAACCGAAGCGCATTTTCTATTTTGACTTTTGCGTGTAAATCGCACGAAAAACTTCTTCATTCCTATTATTCTTTCTGTCCATTAGAATCTCAGATTTGTTCTTCTACACCACATCAAAAAAGTTTCAATTATCACTATTGATGTAGTGGTGTGAATAAGGTGTTTTTTTTTTTTTTTATAGAAAGCTTGTATTGCTTGTGTTATCCTATATACAAAATGATATTATTATTGTGGTACTTATAGTAATTGTTTTCATACGTGTAAACTAGCATTTAGTTGATTCGATAATATTATAATTTCATTCGCATTGTGAAAATAATATTAAACACGTAATATAGAGAATCGTGTACAACATCTGACCTTGAACCCGTATTAAACCTTGGGTTAATTACATGATATCGAAGAAAAAAACGAAAAAATAAATGAGGAAATAAAACGATCCAAAGACCTGTCAAACGGTAATTAAAAACGCTAACATTCAAAAAAATGTTGAGAAAGTAAGATATGCAGAGATATTCAATTTATATCTATATACAAGGATAACGTCTTCGATAACTTTAAACTAAATTACAATAAAAAAAAAAAACAAATTCGAAACTAATGAAACCGTTCTTACCATAAATTTGTCCGTTTTTACTATAACCTTTTTCCCAATTATTAAGAAACCTGCGAGGAAAATAAAAAATACACAAACTAGGTCCAAAATTTAGGAGCAAACGTTTTGGCAAAAAAGTTGTTTACGGGCAGAAAAAAAAATCGTACACATCAAAGTAAACTAACGCATTTTTTGCTAAGCTAATCTGAAAAAGGTATATAAATCAAATATATTAAATATAATATGTAGTCTTTGTTAATGCGCCAAATACATTAGGTGTATATTTTGTTTAAATTTTAGACTTAGGCACCCACGGAAAAAGTATTAGGGAGAGGCAGTGTCTTTTTTACTTACAATCTTATATAATAATCCTTTTATGACCAGGCTGGCAGGGAGCGGAGCATAAAAATGTTAATAAAGTTTTATAAATTATCTAATTATTTAAATTACATTTGAAATGTTGAAGTCCAGGGGAGGCAGATGCCCCGTCTTCCCCGCCATCCGGGCGCCTATGGTTTTGGATGTTTTGGTGTTTTCCGTCCAGTTTTTAAATTTGAATTTCAACACAAAAGCTTTACATTAAATTACGTCGGTTTTTGGTATTATTAATTATATTGTTTTAAAAATATACGCAAATTAGTTTATGTTTTGTTTATGTTCATGCAGTGTTATTTGAATCGTTTGAATGCCAAGATATTTATCGTTCGTAATAAATTATAATAATTGCAAAAATATATTATTGGTACTGTTATTACTCGTTTGGATTAGAAAACGTCTTCGTGAATAAAGAATATTGTTATGCATTTGTATTTATTAAATAACATGATCATTTTTGTTTTTAGCCGACATCTCAGTAAAAGCAACGCTGAACGGTAAAACGATTAAGAAAAAGGAAGAAACGTATTTACTGTTTGACAGTATCGATATCAAAGTAGACTTCAAGGATTATTCCGTTTTCATTGATAACGTGTTCAAGAAAGATCAAAATCTGAGTGAGTGATGATAATATTATTATAATTCTTGTTCTTTATTAATTTGTTTGTCTATAGACGCTCTTTATGTAAAAACAATACACGAAGTTAATAGCTCAACTAAGGGAGGCTAAGCTCATTCCTCAATTCAACTTCATAAAATGCGTAATCACAGTAGAATAGCCAAAATATATCATAATGACTAAGGGACTTCATAAACCAATTTTCTCGGCCTAAATGAAGGGTCTAGGGAAAGAGAATGTAGTCATAAATTGTATTAATATTTACATATTTTACTTTTAATATGTTATATTATTATTTATTACTATTCGATAGTACTCGCAGATACCGACATGTGCTAAAAGACACAAGAAACCGAACAAATAGATTAATTAGATTAGATTAGATTATATTCTTTCCTCAGACTCTTAAAATAAAAACAATGAAGTGATATGAGTGAAGGTTACTGATTAGATTAGGTAAGGTGTGGGGTTTTAGGATTTAAATTCCCCATTTTTAAATATGTACTAAAGTAGAAATATTTGTTTAACTCCCGATATTCACTATTATTAAGTACAATTGATAATTAACTATGATTAAAAATAACTCTCCGTCTGGGATCATTTCATTTTTTTCGCAAACAAATCAGAGACTATATCTATATAAATATATATATAGTTTTTCTTACGCGTACGGTATTTTTTTTTTTTATTATTTTAGACAGAGCACTGAACGACATGATCAAGAATCAAAAAACAGAACTCAGGAAATTGATGATGCCGATGATTGAAGAAGTGGCCGGTAAAATGGTACTTAACATGGCCAATCAGATACTGAACGGTTTGCCGTACGAAGAGATTTTCATTACGGATTAGAAATTGTTAAGACGAAGTTACGCGTACAAAACCAGCCAGTCCTTCGTAATAATTTATATCTTATATCGATTATTTTTTTCTATTTTTTTTTTTAAAAAATGTTTCCCTGCTGAGGAGAAAACTATACAACGAATTGTGTGTGAGCATCGTTGTAATGATTTTATATATATATATATATATATAACTGATGGTTTTTTTTTATATATTTTTGTACACTGTTATTATTATTATTATTATTATTATTATCATCGTTACCAATAATTAATATGAAATCGCACGGTATATACCAACAATTACCTATACATATTTACCCGTTCATCATTCGATAACAAATAACATTTGATATGAATACATTTTACGGACTTTTCGAAAAAGAAAAATTGTAAACAAGACCCACCAGACAGAATAACTCGTTCATACGCAGAATGATATCGAGTGAGCTATCTCACCAGACAGGCGTAGAATCTCCGTCGTAATAAAAATTCGGAATGTCGACGTCAAGTAGGCACCGCAAATTTGAGACAAAAATAAAACCCCTTTCCTCCCATACCTAAGATTAGTGTATAAGTTATTACGGGCGATATTTAAATTTATATTTTATGTTCACGTCTTTCGCATTTTTAGTACCAATACATTTGCAATGTTCACATGTTATCACATAATATTCAAACTTCGTCTATAAAACTTTTTTTTTTTTTAAATCTATAACATCACACCTTAGGTTATTAAAACTGTGGGTTTGTTTTTATATTACATATTTATATATTAGGATTTATGTAATTATATGTAATAATATTTTAAAATGTATTATTTGTACGGATTATTTAACCTAACCTTTATTAATATATTATAATATTTTGTATACGATAAAGCCGAGTTTTTCTGTATTTATAAACTACTATCAACAATACTACTCCGATATTCAAGTGTAGCTCTTTTCCTGAAAGCGAATTTCATCAAGTTTATACATTGATGTGGTCGTTGATTTTCCTTGCAGTTTTTCTAATAATCGAGAAAAACCAGGGAAAACAGTTATATGAAGAACTAACAAGCTTACGACAGTAACGGTTTTATTATTTTCGATATTGTTTTTCCCCCAGAAATCTAGCTCCAAATTTCAAGTTTAGCATTTTTTTTTGTAAGAAAATTTCGTTTAGTTGATGCCTTGGGTGGCCATTTTATTATTTTTATTTTTATTTTATTTTTGTTATTCGTTTTATACCAGTCAAATATTATATAATTATTCTTCGGTCCAAATTCATCAATTTTCATTGATTCGTGTATGTATTTTCAAAAATGTATTTATTTGTGTTGACAGCCATATATTTGACTTAAACCCTTCTTCCTTGGGACCAAAAATATAGATTTCACATTTTTCAGTTTCAAATATCAGTCGTAACCTATATCTATTTTATGTCAAAAAACGGACTTGGCTCAAATTCGTTTTTTTTTTTTTTTTTTTAATTTTTTCATATGCCTTGAAAATTACATTTTGCCTTGTAGTGTTGACGAATTTATTGAGTTTAGTTTTATGAAAATTTCTGCTAAATAAACAATAACAACGAACGAGTGACCAGTGTGAAGAAATAACAAGAAATATAAATTTATTAGCACCTAGATTACTTTTACGGAGTCCTAGAGTCCAGAGCAGTGATTCCCAACATTTATGACGCACCACTTAAGAACTTTTGACAACTCATAGACCACCTAAATTTTCGTGATTATCGACCAATTGATATCCCTCCACTCAACTTTTTTTTATATATAGTGGATAATACAGTCCATAGTCCACGGACAACCGGTTGGGCTTAGAGTCCTAAAAATTCATATACAGTTTTATAGTCTTAGCCCTTAGGTATAGCGATTTAATTCAGTATTATAATAAGTTTTACGATAATAACGATACAATTTTTGTCGATTAAAAGCCTCGTAGATATTGCCGGCGAACTAAGATTCGCGGATATCGGTGAATTTGTATTATTATTGCGTTTTAGGACGGTTTTAATTATTGAAACCGTCTTAAGATTAGTATAATATATCGACGTCGCGTACATGTAGGTTCGTAGATACCCGAGAATTAAAAACGTTGATTATTATTTTGTCGATATGGTATATAATTATATTGTTATTTAAGCGAATCAGTTCTTTTTGTACGTCGCACATGACAGAGTATTGCCGTTGCAGTTCAATTCAAGGAAATTTAAAAATATACATTTAAAAAAAATCGCGTTTCAAGGTTAATATTACAAAAAAAAAAAAACCGTGTGTTTTACGAACGAAAATTGTAAGTACCTATATATTAAGAATAATATAATGACGTTTGCGACGCGAGTTTTGTAAAATAAGCAATTTAGTATTTTTATTTTTAACTGCCCCCGTAATGATCCGATTATCGGTACGAAAAATAGTCCGTATCAAATACAATATTTGATTTTGCCGGACATCACCGGCAAACAATATACTCGATTTTCCCCGCTGATTGTTACGACATCATAGACTATGATAATATTATTAGTTATTACTACTATTATTATTGCTGTGCGGCAGCGGGAGCCGAACACATATGGACGCATCTAACCACCAACATAATGTTCGTATCACGTTACTATAAAATGTCAAATGTGATAATATATATAAGAAACTGTATAATACAATAGTTTAATAATATTATTCATTCGTTTTTTACACTCGGTCGACCTCGCGATGAGTATAATAGGTATAGGAAAAGTAACAACCGTTTTGGGCGACCGTGATGACGATGATGGAATAAAAAATATATAAATTATAATATTAAATGTATAGATTACTGGTATTACACAGGCACTAGGTGCGTACGCGTTATTCACAAAAACAGAAATTATCGAAATAGCCCAGGGGCGTATTTAGGATTTTATCAAGGAGGGGAATACAGCGAGTTTCAATTATTGTGATCACATTGGTGCAGGTCATTTTGAATCTATTAAGCGGTTAGTTCCATAAAATATGTTTCAACTAAATGATTTTATATTTATACTAACCTATAGTTAAAATTAAACGAAAAAAAATATATTCAAAACAGAAACCATAGAGTTTTAATTGGACTAAAATTAAAATCCATATATAATTTACATAATATAGTATAATTTTTAATTATGAATTATTTTATGGTAAAATTAAATACATAATATATAGGTACCTGTAATTTTTGAAACAACTGATTAGTTATTTCCAATACAACTCTTATTTCTCTTTGAGTGATTTTTACATTGGTCTCCTCATCATCGTTTTCATCATCAAAATATTTTTCTTAATTTTTTGTTTGTAAATCAGTTATTTCTTTACCAGACAATGCTCCAAAAGTAGGTTAATATTGTAAATCAATTTAAATCCAATTCTCAAAGTTAATGTCTGTGAATTCTAGCTCCTATAGCATTCTATTCTTCGTTGGAATCGATTGATGAAAATCCAGCTTTTCGAAAACAATTTATAATGCATTTAGAAGTCACTTTATTCCAAGAATTCACCATCATATTTATAACTTCTAACACATTTATTTTACATACATATTCATAACATATACTATGGTTTTAATAATCAATAACACAATTTCACATTAATTTTCGATTTTTCATTGGTTTTATGATTCCCTGGTTAAAAGGCTATATGAGTGACGTAATTGTTGAGTGGTAAAAATTTTAATTTAATTTTGATGTACTGTACAGGTATCAAAAAATAATAGTAAAATAGCATACAGCCCCTCCCCTTGAAATCTAAACATCTTATTTTGATGTTAAAAAATAGTACAAATACAATAAAAGACGTATGTAATTCACATTGGAGGGATGGAATGGTACTTAATAACCATCTGACTAGTGATCAAACTTAATTAGTCCCAAGGTTCGAATACCCACGTGCAATGTGAACTGCTCTGAATCCGCGTAAGAACCGGACAAACTAAGTTCAATTATTTAATGCGTCAATAAGGAATGCTGGACTCACCTCTTTGCAACTATATATGCATGTTCAAATTAAATAGGCATATTGTTGAGGAATTTTCGGAAACAATATTTAGTGAAAGAATAGCATAGTCTTAGTAAAGGCGATAAGAAAGCGCTTTAGATTAGCTAAATAATCTTACCATCCGTTGATAACACTTACTTGTAATTATTATTACTACTATTATTGTAGTTTATTATTATTTTATACATGTATCAGTTCATATGTATATTGTTAATACTTTTGTTATTATTTTCGTTTGTTATATTTTATTTATCTTCTGTGCACCAATACCATACCATACCATATGTATTATTATGAACTTTTTTATTATTCTCTCTATTTCTTTTTCTCTCTCTCTCTCTCTTTCACTCAATTTGCATTATATTAATCATTAACTGAATAATTTAGGATATCTTTCTTTTTCTTACCACAAATAATGTTTACAAGTGTAGTAGGTGTCAACATATATAATCACAATAATTATCTACGTGCTGTACATTTTTGATGTTAAATAAATAAATACAATGCAATTCACAAATATTATTTTTTAATTAATGTTATTTAATTTTTATTTTTAGAGATGGAAATTATAAATAACACAATTTTGCGGTGTTAATATAATTCAAAGTGTGCGAAATTGAACGACGACCTTTTTCTGAATGTATGTGGTAATGATAACCGCTAATATATAAATTCTTTATAGAGTAATCAGCATAACGTAAGATTCTCACATGATTTAAGGTGTAGGTATATCTTAAATCGTGAACACACATCTTGGAAAGTAAGTAGGTATCTATTAACATTTTTCGGAATTAATTTTTTAGAATATTTAAGAATGAAGCACCTCTAAAATGTTATATTACCATTATTTTCTGTCTAACTAATTTTCGGGGTTTAAACCGTTACCCATTTTTGATTTACAAATAGCAACCGAATAAATTTATAACAAAATCTCATAAGTAAACAAAGTTTTAGTTAAAATAAATTTAAATGCTGAAATGTTCGTCAACCCATTTTTTACCACTTTTAAGATTGTCGTTTTGTTGGTAAGTGAGTATAGTGGAGTGCTATTTAAACACTGCGCGTCACAAAAAATGATGTTCCATTACTTTCCTACACCAACCTAAAAGTGGAAAAACCAATCAATGGGTTGACGTAGGTAAATTATCTCTTCATAAACAACTAATGATTTATCAGCGATGAGTGATGTTTTACCACTTAACCAGTGATGACTGATAAATAATAAAATAATAAATCAACAATATTGATACTTAATAACTATTAACTGTGCTTACTATTATGTAATTATTTTTATTTCAGTACAGACCGAGATGCAAAAAGATCATAATGGTAAACAATATTAAAAAATAACTAGGACTAAAAATAAATTAAAACTAATAGTATATTATATAAATAAATTACACGGATTTCTAAAATTGAACAACAGACTACTATAATACTAAATTATAAAGAACTAAATTGGACACCAAGGTTTCCTACACGAGATAACCCGTGAAGGGGTTAGTTCTTGCTTATTTTTTTTGAATCAATTAGCGAGTGGTAAATGTTCGAGAACGGGAGGAACGCACATGGACGCAGAAATTGACGTCAGATAACAAAGTAACAAAGATAACCAATTACAAATATGCATACAATTAAAAAATTAATGAAACTAAGAAATAATAAAAAGGATGAACATACTTCGCACGTGGGCGTAGCCACTGTTGTAGGTGAGAGGTAAGGAAGGTGGGATACAGACGGGAATTTAATGTATATTTGTTGTAAGCAACCATAAACCATTGCTTACGAAAAAACGATTCTGAATTCAGTTGATAGTGTTGCTTTGTCAACAATGTATATCATTTTACAGTAAGATAATTAAACAGGTTTTATAATATATTTTCTTTAATAATATTTATTTATATTGAACCGATTTTTCCAGTTTTCCTACGTTTTTCCTGGTTTTCCCATGTTTTATCCCGATTTTTCGCATTTAACGAGAAATCTCGTGAGAGAAAATTGAAAAATTACCTCCTTAAAGTACCTCCCCACACCGATTTCCTTTCAGAAAAGGTATTACACTTAACAATTTGAGCAAGTCTTCTGGTAGAAAAGTTGCGCACAGTTTAAAAAAAAAAAACATCTTTGTAAAACGAATACATTCCTTGCTCCGCTCAGAATCTAAAATTGTAATATTATGTAGGTATAGATTTCATAATATATATATATATATATATATTATAGACATGATATACGCTTGACTGCGACAAGCACCGTGTCTACAATCAATGGTTCTCCTCAATTATAAACAAATTGAGGTAATTGTTTATAAAAGTTTGAGAACACGCGTCACAATTTCACCACTAGGTTTGCGGCATGCAGTTCGTGTCCTCGATTAGGTAAAAACATTTTTTTTTTACTTGAATGATTTTACTATTTTAATATTTAGTTTTAATTTCTATTGTATAATATAATTTATAAATTAAAAATTTTAAATGTTTAAAAAAATTAAAATACTAGGTATACTAAGTATAATACTAAGTACGAGTATAACAAACTGAACTATTTGTTGTATGTACAACATATATTAATACATTATTTATTGAAATTTTGTTAAGGTTAACTTCCTTGTACGAACTTGGATATTTATAAGAAGGAATAACTCGATTAAATTAATCTTAGACAAACAATTATCTATGTAGTACCTACATACTTAACCGTATTAAAAAGCAAAAATTTACCAACTAAATTATCACAATTAAAACGAGTATATATATTATTAAAATTTAAATCGATTTATTAGTTTAGTACAGAATAGCAGAATACCAATGTACCTATAATAATATAATAATAAGTAATAATTCAAAAGCGGAGAACGAATGACGTCACGTTTGTAGAAGGGAGAGTCAAATTGCGTATCACAAAGTTGATAGCATACCTATCTTTTTTGTCATGGTGCAAAGTATGTCCGTTTGTTTTAATTTTTGTCTTCTGGTTTTACGTAGTAGTGTAAATTAGGTGGCAAATGAAGCTGTTGCACCTGAAATGCAGTGATGCAAGTTTATGTTTTTGCACCACTACAAAATCGTAAAAACTGTGTATACCTATAGATTTTATTTTCAAAAATCTATATTTTTTTTATTAAACAAGTCTCTATAGTTTTTTGTTATAATAATAAAGTTTTTTTTCTATTAAAACAATTCTATACTAATAATATATTACTTTCATAAAAAAAATTTGGTAGGTACATATAGATAAAATATTAAAATAAAATAGTATAGTTAAACAAAATATAATTATTAACAACATAGTGAATAAATTAAAAACAAATAATTCAAAAATAGTTCCGGTAGATAAATCTAATGCTATTGTTATCATTTATACTAATGAAATTCATAAAAAAAACTTTAGATTTTATAAATAATAATAATATTCAAAACTTAACACATGATCCAACTATAATTTATACTAAATTAATTAATTAACTTATAACAAATTCGAAATAAATCATACCTAAAGTCCAAAAGAAAATATTATTAAAATCTGATTACAAAATAGAGGCTCCACACTTACATCCATTCATAAAATTACATAAACAAAATAATCTGATTTGTAAACTTTAAAACTGCACCAGTTTATAACCTTGCTAAATATTTAGACTCTCTTATAAAAGAAAAATTAAACATGAATACATACTTCTACAAAAAATACTTATGGTTTTATTGATAAAATTAATATTGAGACAAGTTACAAAATGGTTTCTCTTGATGTCAAAAATGTATATATAGTCATTACTAAATACAAAACAGTAAATTTTTTAAAAAATAAATATATACATAGTAATAAATTTAATAGAAATAATAAAGAATTTAGAAAATAACCATAATATAAATTTTTATATTAATACAAACTTAGACATCCCAAACATACGCAGTCTTTTACAAATTTTAGCCACATTACTAGATACAACTGCCATAGCTGAACAATCGATTTTAACTTTATTAAGGCTCAAGACCTATTTAACGAACAATATGAAACAAGTTAGACATACTGGATAGGTTCTTCTTAACATATAAACATATACTGAAGAAGTTATAAATAGATTTTCCAGATTACCACCAAAGTGGGATTTCATACTGTAATATATTAAGTTCTACATAAAATAATACCTAACCTAACTCTCATAACTAACTTTTGGACTATTTTTATTTATTTAAATGAAGTTTTTACTGTGTACACAAATTCTAATCGAAACCTTGCAACGATTTTCAAGTGTAGCACTCTTTCTGAAAAGAAATTTGACTGAAATGGTAAAACGAAGGAATAACGGAAATATTGTAAATATTACAGTCTTTTAAAATATGTATAACCGATAACTTGGCTCAGAATCGTTTTTCGTTAGCAATGGTTAATCGTTACATACAGGTATACATACAATTTCCCTTCTATCTTCCCAACTTCTCATCTACAACAGTGGTCCATCCATCGTACGAAGTACGTATGTCCGTATCTTTTTAGCAATTTACCCCATAAATTTTTTGGTGTTTTTTCGGTAACAAAAATACACTGTTGATACTACTCCGCTCAGAATTTGTAACATATAGATTTTTCGATACTTCACTATTTACCAATTTTTGTACATGGCTTTAAATGGTCATTGTTTGAATTTTCTTTCCTCTTAGGATATTTAAAAAACCGTATCCTCCTTTTTTTAACGCATTGTTTAGTTATATGTTCATAATATATTATCTACGGACATTTTTTCAGCATAAACTAACGAAGTTGTACATTATGTATATAATATAATATTTTATTTACACAGAATATAAAAAAAATGTATATATAATATAATATGAATGTTTTAAAATAATTTCATTCCATTTGACCGTAAAATAAAAAAAAGGAACATGTACAAATATAATATTATTAAATTAAAACAATCGTTAAAAATACAATTTACAAGTATGTTTCATAATTATTTTTAACGTGCACACCTACCTATAATATATAAAATTTATGTAAAAAAAAAAAAAAAAAATACTCAAATATACGAATAGAATAAAATACAATCTAATATATAAGCCGGTCACAAAGCGAACGGAAAAAAATTAAAGTAATAGAACCTCGAAACAAAAATATACTCGACGCGTACAATACGCCAAACGGACTAAACGAGATCGAGCATAATATTATTTTTTATGTTTTTTTTTTTTGTTTTTTTCCTAAACTTTTTGTAAGTACCTATTATTATTTGTATATTATACACGATAAATTATATCATTATATTATAAATTATTGGCCACTCGACGGCGGCGTTTCGGTGTGCGACAGAAATAATAACGTATAATGAGTTTTCGTCTCGTTATAATCCCGCGGGATCAACACACGATCAGTCGGATTCCCGGATGTGGGGGAGGAGAGGTGATCGGGGCATAAGGAGCACTTTTTCATTAATCGATGATCCAGCTATCGTAAGGTACCCGACTGAACAGGTTGTCGATAAATGATTTCATCGTGACCAACAACTTCTTTTTGATGTGCGGTTTCATTTCCTTGAGCAGTTCTTGCGAGTTGGAATTGATGAACAGGTTCAGCGCCGCTTCTGTAGATAGAACATAAAATAAACATTGCAGGTAAGTTGGATACGACTGTATCATTACTTTTGTATTAGTAATGTTATACTAATTCACATATGTAACGGAAATCGGCCATTACGATATGTAGGTAGATAAATGAAAGAAAGCTGATAGAGGCTAAGGGAGGAAAGTCCCGAGGGAGATTTATGGACTAATAAAATGTTCTCAATAACAATATCAATAGAGAATAGGAACAAATAATAAACTAGAATCGATCTTCCATAAACTCAATATCTAGAAGACGATAAAAAATATTGTTTTGTTAAAATATTTTATGATTTTCATCATGTCGTAAAATACTAACATACCTACCTACGCATAATGTTTATTGTACTCGTAAATTTATTTGAATTTGTCAACAATATTTTTTTTGACAAATTTCAGCAATTTCATTTGATATCTAAAAGGTATTTTTAAATGGGTATGTATTTTATTATTCATGAATATAAATTTGTATTTCAAGTTTCAAAGCGTAAAAATAAAGAACCTATAGATTTCAGTAAGTATCATGTAATTTATAAAGTTGACAATTTCGTTTTGATTGATAATAATAATTATACATCTACCGAAAAATAACAAAAAATAAAATAATAAATTGTGAATTATTGATGACATGTAAAAATAGATTTTCTGCAGAAAGTCCAATGTCGGCATAGGAGTTGACAATTTTATAAAATTACAATTTGAATAAAGTATTGAGTTTATTAATAAGTATAATATGAAGTGGACATTTTAAAAATATATTGTAATTTAAAAAAAATTTTGATTATTCTTTTCTTAAATTAATTTTAATTTTATAAAAAAAAAAAAAAATGTCAACATAAGTCTAGATAACCTAAGGATGGAATGCTGGTCATAACAACATTTTGTTGAACCTATTGTAAACAACAATATTTGTACAAACATTGACCATACCTATAGGCTATATGTAAATGCATCAAGTCAATGCTCATTTTCAGTTATAAGGTAAATAAATAATTGTATTAAAAATACAATAACCAATAATAGGCTCACAAACTTGATTCTATTGAAAGACATTTGTCACTTGCAACAGACCTATAGAAAATGTATTAAATTATTTAATACGTTATAAAATACAATTTCAGATTGATAACGAGTTAAATACAAATTGTTTTTTGTCACTATCACATGTTTTCCTATAATACATTGATTCTGCTTAAACATTAGTATTTATGAAAACGAATTTCTAAGACTATAGCCCTCACATATCATTATATCAAGCTACGTTCATGTTAAAGACGAATCTACTGGAAGAATAACTAGAGTTTCGAATCATCACAATTAAAAATTAAATCTGTTCCGGATGTCTAATAACAATATTTTATTTTATTTCATTTAGTGCAAAACAAATATGAAAAATTACCCAAAACGGCGTTTCCGTTGTGAACATTTTTAATGCCCATCTGAATGTCCTTGACGCTAAAGTCCATTTTCAAATCTTCTAAATGCAAGTATCTCTGCGAGTTGCGTTCCACTTCGCTGGCCTTGATGTATACTTTGGCCTTAACACCCTCTGAAAACAAAACGCGTCCGTTGTTTATTCGGTATTCGCATCAAAATAATAAATTTCCGATAATTTTCTAAAATTCGAATAATGTGTAATGCCTACCGTATTCTCCCCAGTATTCACCGCCTCCGGTAGCCTGAACCATGATGAGTACGCCGGAACTTCTGTAATGGGCCGTAGCCGAAATTTGCGGGATCGAAAACGTCAGTTGGAACTGTAACGAGTTCAAGTCGGACCTATAAAATACAAAACGCTGTAATAATCTCTGAAATATTAAATGATATTTTTTTAATGATTTAAAAATAATAATAAAACGGTTTTTTTTTGTTTTTATATGAAAATATAAATATAATTTAATATGGCAACGGGGTCGTAGGAATCTAAACCACTCAGCACAATTTTTTCATTTTTTTTTGTTTTTAATGTTGTGTATTATTTTTACGTTCACCGGTTGTGTACAAACATAAATATTACGCACACGTGCACTATACATTACGTTTTTACGTATATAGAACATAATGTCATTATCTAACATAATAATGACTAACGAGTAACAACAGTGACAATCATATAATATTCACAAAACGTCTTCTCCGTATGGTACATGATATATGTAGCTGCGGATAGTTAAACATTTGTAAAATCGGTTTCGTTCTCATTATTTTGTCGATTGAAGCAATATTAATATTGCGGTAAGTATAGTGCCTATACAATCCACATCATTTTGAGATAAAACACATAATAAAAACGACCGAGAAAAAATAATGTAAACGTCCCATGTCAATAACGAGAAAACATAATATGTATATTTAGTGAAATCGTTATTACTTAAACAATGCGATGTTCATTTCGATTGTACATCATCGCAATATAACCGAATATATAGTTTTTATTTGCATTACAAAGTAGGCACTCAAACTGAAGGTTATTAACAAAACGATATTAAATTATTAATTATTTTACGTACGGATTCCTATACTGTTTTATGTCAATTGTTAATTAATTCCCAGGTTTAATACGTTAAAAAATTAAAGGAAAAACGATTTCATTAAATCGATGAGACCTATTATACCTATATTATGTATAGGTACTTAATTGTTGTATAAAACGTATACGATATTATTTTAAAATCATAAAATATAAAATAATTGGGTTTTTTTTTATAAATAATCATTGTTTCACGATCAAAACCGAATGAATCGATTCGATTTCGTCCGTGCACTTGACCGGGTTTTCAGTGGTGACCAGTGGCGAATTTAATGTTGGGTCAAGTAAACTGAAATACCTATTGCAGGGTAGTAAATTTGTTATAATAATTAATAAATAATTGTTTTTTTGATTCGTTGCTGATAAATATGAACCCTGAATGCATTGCTGCAGTATATTTAAAACGGTATATGTTTTGTTCAGGGGAGCAGAAGCACGACTGTTCTGAAGGGAATGTTAATACGAATTAGCCTAGAGATGGGTTAAAAAGCTATAAATCAATAAGTCACTACAGAGGTCGGTAATAGGAATGACGAGCTCAACCGTTTCAAATGAAGCGCAAAATTTAGTAATAGAAGAAAAACGAGGAACAAACGGAGAGTAAACCATCAAGAGGACGTACAACCCCCTAAGAAATTCACTATTTTTTGTGGGGGTTTTTTTTTTTTTTTATCATTTTCGGATACTAAGAATATGAATGTCATAATGTACCTGACTTGGTTTACGGTCAGGTTGCTGACACCATACGCTTGGATGTCTTTGAACGTGGCCCTATATCCGTCCGGACCGGAGCCCAGCGACAGATTGATCTCGTCGATCACGATGGGTTCCACATCTTCAATGCCCAGCTCGGGAATTCCTGCAATAACAATACGATAACAATGTAAATATAAATTTTATATAGTGTGCGTAAAATACTTGATGAGCACAAAGAAGATGAATGTATAATAACATAATACAGTTATTCGGAACTCTGACCCAGTATATTACGTTATAATAACAGCGGCCGCACGGCTATAATATACAGTGTTTAAATTATTTTGTTCCACTGGTTAGTGTGAAACACGCCGGAAAGTAAGTGTCCTCATGCCAATTCGATAAATTCGGGTAAATTCGAATCGGGTTCTTTTTATGTGTCGGTGCTTGAAACGATAGGTATTTTTCGACTACCACAGGCGACTATTTTGGTCCCCTGTTACCTACCCGACGAGGTCTTGTTAACAATATTGTTGACTGGCGGACGTGTATAATGTACGGTTCGTTGCGAGTTCGAGCGTCTATCGTACTTTTAACGGAAAATAAACCCTGATTTTTTAGCGAAACCACATCACGCAGTTGATCCCCGGTGTGTAATAAGGGGCCGAAATAGCTTCTCCGGCTCATGTTGGACTTTTAATCGAAAAAATCTCCCGATTTGGGCGGTTAATCAAGTATGTAGTCGGGATAACCGAATGTGATTACCGGAAAATCGTAGTTATAGTCGAGATAAACGAAATGTACCAAAACTGCAATATCGTTTTATAATCTCAACACGAATAAATATATATATATATATATATATGTATATGGATAGCCGTTTCGAGTTTCGCCTCGAGTGTAAAGTTTTTGATAAGACGATTTGAAAAAAAAAAAAAAAAAACGGTTTTCAACCTAGTTGTACTCTCGGCCATCAATGATGCGATACACTCCGCATACGAATGTTCGTGTGCGCCGGATTCGGTTTGAGAAAATCGTTCCTCGTGACTATACGTATATATTATACGTGAACGCGAACGGAATCGCAACAAAATATGTATTTATTATGTTTATCAATCGCTATTGTGAACGGTGGCGGCGCGCCGCGTTCTGAATTTCTGGTCGAAAATTATTTTGAAGTTTTAAATAACAACCGTCACCTCCGGATATTCTACTAGCGTATTGTTACTGTACACACGTATTCGTGGTCCGATCGCACTGGCCGTATAAAAGCGTGCGATGTGAAATCCGTTGCGAATTATACCGTACACGTGTATACCTACTCGACGATTACCCATTCGAGTATAATCGCATAAGTGCTGGCCCGTCGTAAGACATTTTCCGATCGAAATCGAAAATTTTACATAGCCGTATTTTTTGACGACTGTTTGTATTTCATTTTGTCGCTTCAATTACTTGAAAACTGTATGCCTCCCTAAAGTAACGAATGACTTGCTTGTACTCTAGCGACGGGCTTGCATAAGAATTAAAACTCGACGCGTTTTCGAAAGTGACGAGTTCGGAACCGATAAGTAGTGCAGTACTAAAGGGTATAGTTTGGAAAAGTAGAATATTCTGTGGGGGACTGATTGACAGAGCGATTACCTAAACTCTTTTCGTCCTATTTTATTTTATTACATTTCACAACATCATATCTGCTTTTAATCAATATTTATAATTGTTTTAGGATAATGTTTTTGAAATATTTTACATTTACATATCTATCGAAGCCAAAGTTAAGAATACAAACCAACACACGTATGTATTTGTTGGATAAACTTACATTTATGACGGTACCATTGACGTGCGCAGTAGGAGAGATTAGGTGTTGTATCCTCCGCCGAAAATACAACTGTATGAGTATTTATTTGGTAATTTAATCTGGAAATGTGTATATTTCGGCAGAGTTTACAAGAAAAAGCTGGACTTATTGATTAAAAATTCGATTTTTAGGATCCAGCTTTCGAATCTCCACAGTCCAATTGATTATAGATAAGAAGGTTCTACGATTTATTTTTGGTTATTATTTGATTATTTGCTACGTCCTCTCCCATTAAATAATTTGAATATTCCAGGGCACGCCACAAGACGGTACTACTCGATATCTGATTATTCGGGATGTATACCTGCGTGCATTACCTCGCGTGTAGGCTATAGTAAAATATAAAATGTCCTACTGTTCCGTAAATACGATATTTCGAATACTAGTAACTCCGAGATTTTCGAATGCAATATTATAACCTATTTCCGTGACGTCGGATCGATATGGGCGATGATGACGACGTCGTAATATTATGTACGCGTAAATCGCGATTATCGTTTCGGACGTTACTTCCGCGCTTGGTCGCGACCTCGTAATAGTAGCATTAGCAGATAGTTTCACTTCCGATTCGTCGGGTTTCGAGAAAGTCGCTACCGGTCGCTTTTACATTTTTAACTGTATATTGCGAGTAATACACTCGCATATAAACAGTATCCGATTGTACGTGGCTTTTTAAAAACCACAAAAAAAACTATCATCCGAAAAAACTCGAACGTCCGTTAAAACAGTCCAGTTTTCGGTTTACTTGAAATACCAGCCTGCAGCAATATGCACGAGAATAAAAGTGTGATGTAAAAACTCACCTTTCCGGAAATTCATGGCCAAATGGTTGGCTGCGTAAGTCAGACATTCGTTGACGTTCGGGCTGTTCTTTTGACACGGATGGATATAGTAAGCTGAAACAACGTAAACAAAACGAAAAATATAGATATTTTTTTCTAAGAGTAACTTGACAACTATACTAAGCAGCTATTACTTGTTTCTCAGAGTAACTTGGAACGAAAATGTTTAGTTACTGAAAGTAGACATGTAAAACTGCAGTGATTTACTCCCGAGTGATTAAAATCGATTAACGTATCAGCGCTGACTGTACGGTTTCGTAAAATTTTCGTGTTCGTAAACGCATAAGTATATAAAAAAAAATAATAATACAAATTCTTACCTATGTCATGTTGTTGCTGTCGAGAATCTGAAACTGCGAAACAGAGTACGGCGGCAAACGCCAAGTGCAGAGTAATATGCATTTCTGAAAATATAAAACGTCATTACAAGTTGTATAGCAGGAAAATTTTTTTTTATTGAATGTGTTCATAAATAATTAATATTGATAATGGTTATGTTAGTAAGTTAGTTTTTATGAAACATTAACTAACGCATATGTTTTTTTTTTTATATATAAATTGATACAAAATTCGAATGAAACAGCATATAAAATATCACTGCGGGTTTAATAATATGTAGAACGTTTAAAATCTATTAAGTATTTTCCACGCGTTATAACAAACGACAGTTCGGTGTATTATTATAATAAATTAGCGCAAGAGCACTTTTTTTTTTTTTTCAATTTTTTTACTATTTATATTAAATTAAATACATTTTTAATTGTGTTTTTGAATTGTACAAAATATTACATTTTCTTATTTCTAATGCATAAAATAATCCAATTTATTACAATAAATTATGGATTTCGGATCAAAATAACAATGCAACAGTAATCGTCTTACTACTTGATAGTTTGGATGATGTGCATTAACCCGGTGATCACGTAAGGTCGTGCGTAAGTAATTAGGTATAATATACCTTTCTATAACTGAGCGCTTGACTATTGTTTGGCGAGAATTCATAATTAGTATTATAGTACAGAAAGTGCGTATGGTAATTTTGTAAACAAACGAGAAAACCCGAATACAATCATAATACGACACCCTAGGCGTATGCATTAGCTATGTCTTTGGTTCCAGGGAAGAATACTGTCAATTCTGTTAGTTTTCAACACAAGCAAGCAAATTTTGAAAATTGCAAAATTACAAAATTACTTAATGACCTAACGTAAATATGGCATTCTAAATAATAAAAGTCATATAATTACAGTATAAATCATATATAATTATATTATGAGTTGTGTCTTTTTTGTCAAACAAAAAGTACATCCAAATACTCAAGATTAAATTTTTAGTATGATGCATGTTGTGTTGAATACTACTACTACATAATATACATACAATTATATTATTTAGACCGAAAAATAAAGGGCAAAATATTACACTCGGACCCTTCTTTCCCGGAACAAAAGACACGAATAGTATTTCGTTTTCGGCTGACGTTTTTTTTGTTTTTTTTTTTTTTTCTGTAGCAAGGTGGTCGAAGAATTGTTTGCATATGCTGCAACACGTGTATATAAGTCCATCTATATATGGGGTTACCTAAATATACGCACGACAAGTAAATTAAACAATTTAATGTTTATGTTTATGTAAAGGACAGCTGATCTTTGACTATCAAAGTCGCGGCGACCTTGAATATCTACAAGTACAAAGCACAACGATAATAATAATTTTTAATTGATCGTATTGTTCAATTATTTATAAGGCGAGAGAAATCGTTCGTATACACTATACACGTGTCGTTTAATACATTGTACGTGATGATTATCATTAATAATTTGTGATATTTTATGTTTCGCAAAAAAATAACGGTCGTTCGGAATTCCATCACTCGTGATTTCAAGTTCATTTATCGGCCGGTGGCGTGCTTGCAATTATAGGTAATATTTGCATCTGATTGAAACGAATTATGTGAAACATTAGAATAATTTCCGAAGTAAACAAAAACAACAAAACAAAACAAAAACATTAAATACATATTATAATTTTAGTCGTTCACTAAAGGTATGTAATATTATAGAATTATTGTTACGCGTATAGGTACCAAAAATGCACAACATCAATTTCCAAATTAAATACATGATAATATTAAGTTTGTATGGTACTTTACAGGAAAAACATGTTTCACCCGAAGAGCAAACCGATTTCAATCATATTTTTATTTAATTTTTTCTGGCAAGCGGATGTTTCGATTTTAAAACGCTAAAAATTAAAGATTGAATGCGCTGACCATTCTTCACTAATTGTTCATTGTGTTTCTCCAGCTGATAGAAAAACTCTCGAGTTTTTCCGGTCGCGCGTAGGCCGGCCCTTAATAAAAACAATTAAAACTGGTCGAATAATTTATTGAGATTGGTCAATTTTAAATAATTTTGGTTCTCAATAATTTGTAAAACGACGCGAGCGGATCTCTAAGTTTGAAATGATATTGAATAAAATATAGATGCCCATGTATCTATTCAGTGAAATTATTATTATATTATTTAAATTTCGTAGAGAATGATTCGTTATCAACTTCTTTTTTTTTCTTGTCATTATCAAATGAAATATTGTCGTAATTAAAAATCGCCACACAAAGAGATTTATGAAAAAAAAACCTACGCAAATCCTAACGAGATCTGAAAAACAGATCCTTTACGACGTCCCAGCAATTAATGTATTCTAAACGAACCCGATTGAAAAAAATTAATATTATTCAATTTGTTGTGGGTGATAGAATGTGTGAACAGAATCGAGTGGAAGTTAAGAATGAGCACGGCCAATCCCTAACAGTCGGGGCGAAGGAGGAGAGTAAGAATATTACATTTATTTACTGCCACGCAGGCAGCAGAACTGTTGCATCCGATCGCGATGTATTAGGTATACAGCCAAACTAGTTATTATTTTTTTTTTTCTCGAACGGTACACGCATCATATTATTAATTCGGTTTATCGAATCGATCGTGTTCGTTATTCGGCCTACTAATTCGTTTGTATACGGTGACCGGGTTATTATACGCTCCGTATATAAACTCTTGACCCGATATCGCGTCTACACCGGTTCGTTATCCGGAAAAACGGTAGACGAATCCGCAAGGTAAATTTTATTATAGCAACGGATTGTTCTGAAATAATATTAAGAGAACGTATTATACGACCCGCATCCATACTGTAACGTGCAAAAACAATTATGCTTACGCAGAATAAGTAAAACTATAATTTCGATTTTAGAATAAAAGTACCTATAATGAAATTTATAGAGAATAATATTTTAGAACGAAGAAACGTCATAGGGTTTTTGTATTATTCAAAATGTACAGCTCGATATAAAAGATACAAAAACCTTTTCTTTTTTTTTTTTTTTAAATAACTGTAACTTTTTTAACAGTTCGTAATTCAAAAAACACCCACGCCATTCCCTCCGAAATATCGATCTCTGTACATTCCATAATAGGTACTTTTACTCTAAAATCAAGTTTAAGTTAGTTTTCACTTGTTCTGAGTAAGCATTGTTTTTCCACGTTACCCGGTAGTTGGATTTAGATGCGAGTATAACGTCCTCTTAACGCCACCGGACTATACGCATTGCTCGCGTCAAAAGAAATAATAGAAAAATTATCATTACGCTATTACGGCCCGGACAACTTTATGGTTTAAATTTTCGTTTTATTTCATCGCCGAGACTAACCCGATAAATCGACAAAAACAATTCGATTTTCGTTCCCAAATACCAATGATCCCGTGTCAGCGACCCTCGCGGGGTTGAATACTTTGGGGAGGGGTGGGGGAAGAAATCGTATTATACGATATATTCCTGGTCTACAGAACTAAATCTATGTAACGTTCCCGTTCGTTCCGTTCGGTTATTTCGGGCGAGAAGTGGTAACAAATAAAATACACACGCCGCCCGAACAAACGTTCGCACTTATAATGCATTATTCGTTTTGTACAGGAAGTCTCTATCCGATATTTTTTTCTACGCAAGTATATCGCAAATCTAATAAAATGCATAAATACGGTTTATCGAGCCGAACAACACGAAAATAACGGAACACGGTTTATTATTTTACGAGACATCATTCGGTAATCCTTCAGTAATTCAGTATACTTTTAAGTTTTAAACGAGTAGGTCATTTTTAGTACCGAATATGTACTTAAGTACCTACTGCAGGGTAATGCGGCGTTACGTTAAACCATACCGTATACGCATCACGATGCAGATGAAGACGAATTTAATGAATAATTACAAATCGCGGAGCATATAATAATTATTTAACACAATAACCGGCCGTTTTCACGTACGGACGTACGACAATCGCTCGTTCGATTTTAATTTTGAAAACAATTACTTGAATTATTCGATTTCTTGTCAATTTTTTACATGAAAGATTGTTGGTTTTTGTTTTTTTTATTATTATTATTTAGTATTAGTGACATCTTTTAAAATAGTAAAAAAAATAATATGTTAGTGCTGCCATTGATTGACTCTACTTCCATCAAAAATGTTATCGGCTTTGCGTTTATTCATCATATTATATTAGTGTCCAAAAAGGTACAGATTATTTATTTCGTTTTTTTAAATAATGATCAAAAAAAATATTGTATCAATTTACTAGTTAAAGTACACGATGAATTCGCCTTTATTTTTTCCGAAAATGAATTCGATTCAAAAGTAGCAAAACAAAAATAATAATAATAATAATATGTTTCCTATACCAAACAAAGGAAATAAGCGCGCAAAGTCAAATACGCATTTCTCACAAACGGAAATCGGATTGCCGCGGAAAGCCGGTGTGTTTAAATTTACTCCGGCTCCGGGAAAAAGTTAACACCCACTTATCATTCTCACCCTGTGTGCATGACAACTGACCGCGGTAATATTATTGATCCGGTGCGAATAGACTCTGTACGCCCACATTATAATATTATGAACAGACTTACTCGGTGCGCTTTTCGCAATCCTGCGGGTGTATGATAATGTTGATGGTCCCTCTGATCGCCGTCGTATGGCCGCAACGGTTGAACTTGACTGCCGTTCGGCTCGTACCGCGTAGTCTTTTTAACAACTGCCGCCGGCCAGCTCGGTCTCGGTCCGCGCGCGACAGGGGGAGAGCGCTCGGTCGTCGTCACCGGGTCCGAGGACCGGTTATGGTGTTCCCCTCTCCGTCGACCGTGGAGCCTCCGACGCCTCGCAAACATTCCTCGTCTGTGCGCCGCCGCGTCCGTCCGACGACCGTGCCGATTGTTCTCGGAATATCAAACCGCCGCCGCGGAGACGGAAACAAAAAAAAGACAGAAAAAAATGCGTTTTTTTTTTTTTCTCTGTTTAAACATAGGACATAGGATATATTATATTACAATAGCAGGGTAATAACTAACGATTTATATCTGCGCGCGACCGTTATTATTAATCGTTAGATTGTTGGACGGAAAACGATTCCGAGGGAAATTCATGTTTACGGATACATTAAAACGAAAATATAGTAATTGTGGTTTTTTTTTTTTCTTCAATAATAATTGTTTTTCACTGAAAAATATCCAATTCACAATATTTACATATAGACGATTTTAAGTAATATCGATACAGTATGAATTTTCGATAAAAATAGATACCTACATAATAATACATAATATGAATACAATTATTAAAAAAAAAAAAAAAAACACAATCATCAATTGTTCAAATGCAAAACATTAAGCAATTAATTATCTGTTACAAAACTGCCCGTGTTTATTCGTCTCGAATATTCGAACAGTATACTCGCATATTATATAAATCGGAAAATGCGGTAGTTTTTACGATTTTCTTCCAAATGTTAACTTTAAACACTTTGTTATCGAAATGAAAATCACGATCACTACTTTCGATATTTGTGTATAATGCTATGTTTTATATAGCCTATACTTTCCCAATCCCTGTATTTCTTTCCTTACTGTGAAAAAAGCACAAGAAAGGTCCAGAAAAAAGCCACTTCAAAGTAGGTACCATTTTATAATGCTACCTGAAGTTTTTAGTCGGAATAAAATCTTCTTTTCGAAATCCACAATCATTATATATTATTATCATAGCTTAACTGATGCAATAAATATTATGCGGTCCTTCCGAGCTCAATACCAAAATATTATGGCCTTATTATTTCGATATAGGTGAAATACACAGTGAAAAGTATCCGAGCTCAGAATTTCCGGTTTTCGCGGTTTTCGGACGTCAAACCGAGAATCTATACTATTTTATGGCCTTTCTAAAATTCGTTAGTTGAAAAATCAAAAACCGACAAACACCTGGAGCTATAGTTTGGCTGTGACTCATTCGGCCGATCCGGAGAAAGTGTTCTGAGCAATCTCAATCTATTTTTATAATCAGAAAATTCCCAGAATGTTCTTATCACACATAATCGTCGTGTAAAAACGATGATAGGTGAATCATCCTGTCTCACGGTTAATTCTTCAACTATCTCTATCCGATGCCAGTTTCAAAAAATATATCACGGAAAAATACTAATAATAAATGTTCAGCTTTAAAATTGAAAAAACGTAGGAAAACGAGGAAGTTTCCGAAAATAATACTTAAATTATTTTTGATTTGGTTTTTAGTTTTAATTCAGTGAAAAATATTCTCAGAAACTTGAAATTTGGATAGAACAACACATTCGGTTGTTATTAAAATTCATACAAGCAATATAACGTGTACAGGATTACAATTTTTAGTTATTTTAACTTAATGTAAAAAAAATTGTCGATGATAACTTCTTTTGCCCACCCTTGATTTTTATGATGGAAGCAGGATTATACAGTAAGTTAATCAAAAAAAGACAAAAAAAATACACGTCATAGTAAAAAACGAATATATTATTATTCGTGCTACGCGCTAAATCTAAAAAGTATAAATAAATACAAATATCTGGATGAACTTCACGATCTGGTCGTCCGGCAGGCACGAATTGGAACGGCGGGCTACCGGGCCGCCAACAAATTTTAAATTTTGGGGCACTAGCTAGAAAAAATTTAAATACGCTTCAAATACCTAGTAAGATTCGTAACAGCTAACAGTTAATAAAAAACTCAGGCGGCGACAATCCTGCGCGTATTGCTTGGTGGGACGTGAGAATACCCGCCACCTGGGTCAAATATGCATGCATATTGCATACTGCATAAAGACGGCGTGACCAATGCTATTATTTAACAATAATAAAATTAAATAAATTGTTTTCTTCCGGTATTATAACCGCAGCAGCAGCAACTATCGCGACGATCAGTGATGAATGATAATAATACATATTATATATAAATCAAATATAAACGTTTGAATGAAAAAATCAAGAACGTTACACGTTACCATCTTTCGTCAATTATTAAATTTTACAATTTTTATTGTTTCGTAATTATTTTTACTATTTTTAAATTTCAATGTAACACGTACCTATTTGAAGACTAAAATTAAAAAATTTTGTTTGTTTTTGGAAAAGCTATAACGGATCTAAAACAACGAAAACTATTCGGATATACTGTGATGTATTCAACGGTAAGTTTAAATTGTGCTCTTAAAAAAAAATGTATGTACAAAAATATATGTAATTTATGTAGTTAATATTATATTAAATGTGTTAAAAAACCAAACTATTAAAAACTCGGAGCTTGACTTTGAGGCATATTTAAATATTAGAGATTTAATTGGTGTACCATTTAGTTTTTAAATTTTTGGGTTTTTTTTTTTTTTTTTTTTTGATTTCTTATGATAATTTGTGGCAAATAAACTATTTTTTTCCGACACAAGTTTACTTCAATAAAAGACAAAATGTGTACATTTTAACAGAAATTGCTCATAGAGAAAAATCTTCGTTCAACAACTTATAGATTATGAGCTTTGCGAAAAATGTATTGGTTTTACTATGATGGGTGTTTTATGATGTTGTTTTATTCTGTTCGTAAACAATTTTATTTCTCGCTTCAATCAAAAAATGACACAAGAAACATTTGTTCTAGCATTTTTGTTCTGGTTGGTAGTGTACTGATGGGGTTATTTTGTGATTTTCTAAGGGGTTTTTAAAATAGTTAGGGAGTTATTAGTTGTACTGGCGTCCGTCAGCTGTGGCGCCACACGGTGAACTATATGCAATGGCCGCCGCCGCCGTGGAGACTCGCCTCCGGGACGACGTTATGTAACGAACATACTATTAATCTCGCACGTGTTATTTTTATCGCATTAATCAAATACGTTGGTAACTCCCCTCCATTGTGACGTAGAATGTTAAGTATACGTCAAACAACTATACCGGACTTAGCCGCCTAAACAACACAAATATTGAAAAATATCCGCACGATTTTTTTGTGTACAATATTATACTAAACGCGAATAATGACGGTCTTTTTTTCTCTACCCTATAAATACGGGGCATTCTTCTAAGAGCTTGGTAAATCTAATATCCGACGAACAAAATACCAAAATTATCCATATAGATTCCATCGGAAACCGGATTATCGAATAATAAGTATAATAACTCTTGTGCAGGATTCGGGCTTCGGGACTTATATAGTATGAGACGTCCCGGTTCAGTCGGCCTTGTTTTAGGACCGACCCGAGCGCCCTCAGCTGACTACCCGACTAGTGGGAACATCGCCAACCTAGAATCGAGGTCCGAAGACCGAAGTGCTAGGATTTTTGTGAGAAAGGAAGGAGAAAAAAAAAGTAATTTAAATAGGTAAACACGTGGTTTTCTTGGGGGAAAGTACATAGTTATTTATTTAATTTATCAATCAAAAGTAAAATTTAAGTTCATATAACAGTAAGGCCCGGGGCATAAAAACTGTTGATTAAGAAAGAATGGATAATAGGTACGACTTATAACATTGATGTATACATATATATAGGCTTATAAACTAATATTTACAGACAATTTATATTATAGATATATGTACGTTGACTGGGGCGTCAACCAGTTGTAAGTGTTGTCCGGACGTAGATAGTGGCATCACGGGGAATATGCGGGTCGGAACTTATTATATTAATGGATAAGGATGAATTCACATCCACGTGTGTGGGTTGATCGATATGGGTATTGACAGAGACGGACCCCCACGTGGAACGTTCGTGGACACCTTATGTATTGGGGAGACACCGGCAGGAAGTATGCGAATACGGTTGCCAAGGTCGCACAAATTACCACCGGGAAGGGTGGCGGAAACGCTTTTTGTTCCATCTTGACTGGTCCGTAGTTTCGGTGGCCCTACGGGTGAACCTGCGGGGTGCGTCCGAATCTGGGTCGCGAAATTGGGAAAATCGATCTATATATATATATATATATTCCTTTTTTAGATGCACACACACGTGGATGCGAAACCTAGCACTTAGAGGGGATAGAAAATAAGAGAAAACAACAAAATACGGGGGGGGGGGGGTTGGCCTATCGCATTTAGGATGTGGAACGCGGGAATTAGCATAATAAAACGGACACACAAATCTAGCTGGTTGATTCCCATAAGTATAACGGACGGATTTAACATACGAAAAAGAAAACATTTTTAATAAATATATTCATACGGAGAAACATTAATTAAATTACCTTAAAAACTAATTAACTATCTAACGGGTTATCGGCTAATTACTAAATTACACACATATTACCATCGTTCTCCCGAAGATGTCCGCCCAGCGGACCGGATCGGGACCCACTTCATTGATTCGTTCGAGGCACCATCATGAATCGTGCCAAGGTACACGACCTTTTCTTGGCGGCAAAAATATGTGACTCCGTGCAATACACGGTTGTATTTTATTAAAAGAACTGTATCTAAAGACCGTCTGGTGACAGAAATCTCAAGACGAGGTGCAGACACGAAGAAATAAAAAAACGAACAAAAAGGGAAAAACTGGGTAGCGGAGCGCGGAGACGTTCGTGGCACGTCGCCGCGGGCCGATGTTTTAGCGATAAGGGGAACCGTGATGTGATTGGCCGTTAATCCGTAATCAAAATTATAATATTATTGCGAATTGCAACAGATTGCGATCGCATAAACCTTTGCGCGTGGAGGATTATTGTGAATGATGACATAACATATCCGTCGACGCGGGCGTAAACTATAAACCGGTCGACCATATCGATTGCTCGTCCTTTGATAACGGGAAATGGTCGTTTTTGGACGGTACAAGTATTTACTTAATTTTTTGGCCTATCATTGAATAATATGTGTAGCACAATGCCATGGACATTTATATCTCGTGTCAGTAACGAGTTCAAATATGAAATTTGAAAATGTTTATACTTGCTTATTTCGATAGTGTTTTTAATATCCCGTTTCTTGGTCTTCAATCAATCAAGATGTATTTTCTCCATCACTAATCGTATTGGAGTCAATATTATCGCGTAGGTAACTGAGAAATTTAATAGATTACACTATCACACACTCACTCTCTTACCGTTATGAATTCAGATATAGTTTCAATTTGAATCGAATGATACTGATCACTGATCGTAGATATACAGTATTCGGTTCTCGTTCGCTCATGTAAATTTAAAAAACACATCGTTATAATGGTTAAAAGGCTATCCGTCGTCTGTGCAATATGAAGAAACCCATTTTTATGTATTAGATACTTGGTGGATAAAATTTTTAGACTAACTAAAAATGCTTGAACATTTAATATGAGGTTCATTGTAAGTTGTATTTTATGAAAAACAAATTTATTGAGTAGAATGTAAATTTTTTTTTAAAGATTTTGACGAAATTCGTAAATATTACTGTGTTTTAAAACATGTACTACCAAATATACTTGTATGGATAAGCTTCTCATTTAAGGCATGGTGGTTATAATTTTAAATTTGTGATCTGCATCTTCAGAAGTTAGGTGGTGCTATATTGATCTATATTGGGAGCCAGGTATTAACCTTAATGTTCCAGGAATAACCCTTATTATTGCATTTAGTTGAGTGTCTATTTTGCTAGACGTGAGCTCTTGTCATACTGGGACACAATATTTGGCTACTGAGTATGTGAGAGCGAGTGCAAATACAATAACTTTATATCATATTAAGATCTAATATAAGATCTAAGTATTAGTAAGTTTATGTACAATTTATAGTTTTAATAATTTCTGCCATTTTAGTTAGGTGTTCTCTAAATGTTAGTATTATGCCCAAAGTCATTCAAAGATATGTTAGGTTAGGGTTGTATAGTATTAGCTGCTCCCTAAAAACTACTTATTTTGATGTAATATAAATTAATGGATTTTATAAAGCAACCAACAACCAATTTTTTCACCATATTTATGGAGTTAAATGTATATAGTTTATACAATTCGGTAAAAAAAGGTTATGCACTAACAATATATCGGAATTATTCAACAATAAATTTCAACACAATATCTGGATTAAATATCCAAGTATTTATATTTTTATTAAATCTATACAAATAATTAATAACAACAATGGTTTCTTTGACATAAACCAATGAAAACGTTTTATTAAATAATTGTCTAACACGTATAACTTATAAGCATTAAAAAAAAAATTATTGTATACATTTAATACCAATTATACTAGGTCCAAAAACAATATGCAGATAAGTTTGATACAAGTTCTACATTTATATGTATAATGTCTATGTAGAAATATAAATTTATCCAAATAACTTGAATTAGTTTATTTCCTCATTAAATGTAAGGAATATTTTAGTTGTTGTGACAGGGCTGACTGTATTGATATAATTTTTAAAACTATAATTTAGCATTATTTGTAATTGAAACTTGAATTTGTATAGATAATTTGAAGGTGATGAATGAGTAAGCTGGCATTAGGCAAGTGTAAGCACTAATTTAATGTTTCACATCATATAGAAAATATGATACCTAACATTTAAAATAATTTATAAGTCACAGAATACATTTCAAATGAATAGAAAAAAACAAGTAATGAAATTTAATTATTTAATAAGATAATTAAAATGGTTTTAAAATTATATTATAAATGTGGCAAAAATTAAAATTTAAGAACTCTAAATGGTTCTATACATTGATTTTTATAATTAATAGAAACTTTTCTTTTAAAAAGCATTATTCAATCTTAAACCCTATTCAAATAATTTTACTATTTCTGTTATACAATATCTAAGTTATTTTTTTTTAAATGTATACATAGGTTAGGATAAATTATATACATAATTATAGTGCGTGTTCAGTGTATATCAATATATAATATGCGTATACACACATACATAATATTATGTATATAAATAATATATTAGCTACAGAGCATAATTTTAGTTAAACATATTATGTATTTAAGAATTAAATATAAGACATTTGTTTAAATCATTTAAATACAGATCAAAATACAAGTGAATTTACAGAAAAAATGAATTATTCAATATGTCAAACATTAATTAGATACAATACTTGGAATATCATACAATTAATATAGGTTACCAACAGGTTATAATAAAATACTTATTTAAAATAATTCATTTTTGAATGATAAATAATAAATAAAGGTGATTATAAATCCACCTTTCTAAATAATTACAGCGAAATTAACATAACAATTTTGTAATGTTAATCCTATAAAAAGTACAATTAATAATATAGTTATTAAAATGTCTTTATAATATATTACTACATACTATTATAAAAACATAATAAATTATATTTTTAACATATATAAAGAAATTGTTCTAAGTTAAATTAATTTTGAATTAAATAAATATTGTACAATTCATTATAGACAATAAATATAATTAGGTGGCCAATTGTACAATGAAAATAATAAGAAATTGATAAAAATATTAATAATCACATGTTAAATATAAAGTAAATAACAATATAAAGCAATATGGATGGTTAATCTGTATTATTTTATTTAGATTAAATAACAATAACCTATTTATAAAATATATAAAACTTGTATGTTATTGAAAACAAATTGTTATCAAGCATATAAGGATGTATAAGTTACAAGTACAGTATTTTCATTGGTAGGTCATATAATGTATTAGATACTATAACATTGTTTTATAGTCAATATATATTAAGTTAAATACATTAGTACCTGACAAAAAAAAAATATTAAAATATTAGTATTAATATTAACTTTAGTTAATATAATGTATACAGTTTATGTATTAAGATATTATACAATGTATATGTATATATATATATATATATATATATATTTATTATAGATGGCGATACAACATGATTTTTATGCAACATAAATGTAAGTATTTCTGTTTTTTGGTGAACGTCTTAAATACCCGTTTTCAATTAACCGCTCGATACATTTGTTAATAAGCATGGGCGATGGCACAAATCTACGCCTTAACTGATCAGTTACTTCCATAGTGAGGTTATTGTGTGTTAACTTTTTATGGACTTTCATAATGCGTACAAGGACTGCCTGAATTTCGTGTTTTCTATCTTCTTCTACCATCTCTTTAGTTTTTCGCAGCTCTAGCTTATTTTCTTCCTCAGTAGTAATTAAATGAATTTTTAAGCAAGAAAATAATTCATTTATACAGAACTCGTGATGAGGTTTAATCTCTTTAATGTTTGGACTCTTCAGTAATATTCTTTGAGAAAGTTTTCCTGTTACTAATAATTGCAGTTCTCTAGTGAGATCATTTTCATTGATTTTAGTTTTTTTCATTATAGTTTCCATAGTGATTTTATTAAAACTGTTAAATAGCATCAATATTGCCATTTGATAAGTCGATACTTCCAAGAGATTTTTATGTACATTTCTAGTATTCATATAATTTTTATTAAAAATTATTTCAGCTGAACCCAGTTGTGGCTGGATTTGAAGTTTATGTCCATAATTTTTACTTAAATAAAAAGTTTTAAATTCTTCATAAGGCAAATATGCTATATTTGGTATGTTACATTTTGTTGATGAGGTTGGTAATGACCAGAATTCAGTGGTTAGCACACAAACTGATAAATCAATGTTAGTGCAATTTAACGATTGTGATGCTGTTAGGTTTATTTTAAATAAATCCATAATTGTGTTAGATTTTGCTATGTCTTTAACCATACCTTCAAATTTAGAAGTGAACTGATCTCCAAATTCAGTTTTTAAATTTGAGATCATATTTTTCTCATTATCTTCATTAAAACACTTGCTCAGTAACCTCTTGGCTAAATGTTGTTTATAGTACTTTTTAAAAACATATATGTCTTGGAGAAATTTAAATAACACCACGACTTGGTCAAGAATTGGTGTTTTTTTTTTATTTTTTTCTGAACCAAAACATTTTTTTTCTTGTACATTTTTATCAATAAATAGTGATAAGTACTCAGGAAATTTTGGATGTAGATTTATAAAATGTTTAAAAGTTGAAAATATTGTTTTTTTAAATATTTCATTATTTTTATATAATGAATAACATAGCAAACAATTCAATTTGCTGTTAACATCTAATAAACGCTGTACATAAGTAACTGGATTTAATTGTCTTTTGTTTTTGTTCTCTACAATTTTGAGTTGCTCTACTAAATACTTTTTCAAAAAGTGAGATAAAATTCTTGGACCATAAATATAATCATCGAACAGTTCAAACATACATTTAATATCATTGATGTGTAATGCTTTATTAATTATACGGTATCCCTTTGAAAATATACATCCACGGCGTTTAATATCTATAATGGTTAAAATGTGTTTTTTTATAAGCTCATCATTTACTACTTCAATAATACGTCTTTTTGTGGAAATGTGCAGGAAATGTTTGGCTAGCTTCGCTTCAATGATTGCATTCATTTTAGCTATAAAAATATAATAGGAATGAATGTGATTTTTAAAAAGTATCTGACTTTTATTATAGTAAAACTTCCTAGATAGAGCAAGGAATGGACGTTCGAATACTTCTTCGTACACATGTTCATCTGTTAATCCTAGTTCTACAAGCATTTGACAAGCGTTTTTCAGTGCGCTATATTTAATGATTTTGTGTTTTCTATATTTTATCACCATTATCAAAAGTCTTTTACGTAAATAATTTTTTATACGGTCGTGTTGTATTATTATGTCAAGAAACAACGAGATCCCAACGTTATCAATAGGCTCTAGGTTATTGCTTTTTAGGTACTTACCCATGCACATCAGCATATCTTTCAACAAGATCATTGACTTTTTATAGTTTGTCCAACATTTGTCCAATATTGCCAAAAAATTTTTGTTCAATGAGTTCAGCACGTCCACTAGGACTTTGGATTTTAAGTGTAAGGATATGGTTTCCCTTATACGATTGTATAATTGTTGATTCCCATTTTTCATCTTTGAGACCGAATTAATTATCTTGATTATATCCGCGTACCTCGGGTGCTGGTTATTATCAACAAGTATCGTTTGTATGCCATTATTTATGCTTGTCCATTTATTGTTGAACATATCGGGAAGAATGTGGTTAGACATATTACGAAAAAGAGATTTAATTTAAGTCTGTTCAAGTAAATTTCACATTAAAGACTAGAGAGCCACGCTAACATAGCAGTCTTAAAAATTAAAAACAAAAAGAATACCTTACCAAATCAGATTTGCCAACACTTACACCCAAAATCCTTGGACCAGGGGTCACCAATTGGCGGACCGTGAACACTTTTTTAACGGACCTTTTTCCATGAAATAGTTTTTAAATTTGTATAGTATAAACATGAAAACTATGAATGTGTCATATATAAGTTATATGACGACAAAAAATGATTTAAGTAATTGAAAATTATTTGCAATTTGTATTTCTATAATCATAAATAGGGGAAAATCAATGTGGTGATATCAATCATAGATCCGATAATAAATAATTAGATAAGAACGTATAATAGTTTTTTTTTTTTTTTTTTGCAATAAGTAAATCAATATATAAAAATACAAATTTAAAAAAAAATATATTTATTAAAATGTGTAAAATTCATTAAAACTATTTGGGACCGCGGAAAGTTTGGTAAGTTTTAAAACGGACCTCCGTGCAAATTAATTGGTAACCCCTGCTGCCCTAAACCATTACCCTTACGGCCTTACCAACATAATGATAATTTTATTTAATGCTAAAATTTGTATCTTTGTATCTTGTTTATACCTATGATGGCGTTAAAACGGTTTTGAAATGAAAACGTTTTAAAATTTATTAAACCGATTCAGTTTAATATCTATTACACCTGTTTATGCAATATATGTATCTATAATATTAAATCGATTTAGCGAACATTTTGTAAATCGATTTAAATTTAACTGTTTCCTTCATGACTTGAATTTTGTTTCGAGAGATAATAATATTTATCTGAGAATATTGATAATATTTGTGATTGTAATCTTTAATTATGTTTTTGAACCTTAAATCATATTCTATGTATAGAGCATAATAAACCCGTACTACTAGTTGAAGACATCATTATTAACGAGTACTAAAGGGACTGATATCTATTGTACATACGTATCAATACTCGTGGCATATTTATCGAATAATCATTATAACACTACCAGGCAGTCGTGGTAAGTACGTCACATGCGATTACGTGAATTCGACCAATTATCCCAACTTCTCTTAATTATGTTTGTTTTAAATATTTAGTCAATCAAGAAATTCTCCAGCGCGAACCGGTTTATATTTCCCCTTAAATATTAAACCGGTGTGATTTTAAGGAATTCGTTGTATTTATTAACCACACGTCGTGTTTTAATTTTGATTGGACTTTCGCATTTGGTAGCTGCAAACTCATAATTATGGATTATGCTTATTGTGCCATAACACCAAAAACTCGCAAAAAACATAAATATTGCCATGTTCCACAATGTAAGTTATTAACTTATTTCTACTAAATATACAAATTATATTCTCTGTATAAAGATATTCAAAGTAATTATTTAATTTCCATTCAACAGTCAATACCAAGAGGATGTGACTTTCCACACTTTTCCTAAAAAAGAAATGGAAGCATGCTTTAAAAATGAATATTACTAATTCTCCAACAAATAATATTAATGTGCGCAGCAAACATTTTATTAAAGATGATTTCTTACAATTTACTAGTTATTATTATAATTTAGAACTAGTGCTCAAATTATATATAATATCTATCAACTGTTAAATTAATATGGAGTAACAGGTAGGTATTTTAATATGCTTGTTATGTAATGGGTATGATTTTAACAATTCCATAGAATTCATAGGAACATAGAAACATAGGTTTCCCACTGAGATCACTAGTTTTAACCCTTTAGGGCACACATTGTTTTTGAAAATTTTTTTCTTGGAAAATAATTGAAGTTAGCACTCATATTACATATAAAAAAAAAAACAAGATATAGGTGGTTTCCCTATAATATCACAATGCCTCAAAAGGTTAAGACACAGGGTAACGATTCTTAATATTTTGTTATTATTTTCCACATATCCAAATTCAATAATGTGGTTACATTTCATTATTTGCATACCCTCAATCAAGTAAACAATTTTTTTTCTAATTGGTTAGGTACTATGAAATCAAATCAAATAAATTCAGTTGTTTATAAAAAACAAATTGAATTAATAATTGACATTGTGAAATTGATTATTATCAAGATTAGATATACGGGTTTCCGAAATATCGTTCACACGGCATGCGATAACGACGCAAGTTTCTATTTCCGCGCGAAAACGCGCGTGAAACCGGGGATTGAAATATTATATATTATTATCGGACCGTTCAGTTTACACACACGCGTTTCAATAATCAATGCGAACGGTTTGATTTTTATCGTGTTTTCATCAATAGTTTTTGAAAAAAACCTATTTTTTTTTTTAAATATGGAAATTGACACGGATAACATAATTTACGCAATAGAAAAAAGGCCTGCCATATGGAACATGACAACGCTTGAGTACTCGCACCGAACCGAACCGAAAATTTGTCATCGTGCTCTCTAAGTTTTGGATATAACGTAACATAAAGACTAAGAGAAAGCCTCGTTTTTAAAATAGGATAAACCCAATATTTCATTTCCCTCTTTTGTCTGCGCCTTTTCATCTTTCGGTGAACGACCTACAAAACACACAGCATCTATCACGTCCATTCTCGGTGTCAGTCTGAACTGTACTAAGTATTATTTTTTGACTAGAACATTCCCGTTGAACGTGCGTGACACGCAGGTATCTGAACGGCCCCATACGCGCGTTTTGCGGCGGCGGCGGCACTAGGTGAGACCCCGAAATAAAATAGAAACTATCGACGATGAATGTTGGTATCTAATTATAATATTAATATGTTTATGTTCTCACATTATAATAGATAGATAATACAGGTGCTATATAAAAACGGAATGTAAATACAAGTTCAAGGTCTTGTGCGTACCTATTGTTTTCTGTATACCTAACTATAGTAATGATGGCACACAAGTGAAAAAAAAACTCGTCATTGGGATGCTGTATATGTATACAGCATCCCATATAGGTACACAATACAAACTGCTTGACTATAACACTCACGTTTAATGTATTCCTGTTTTCAATACTTCATATACCTACACCTAATAATTGATTATCGAGTAGACGTTAAATTTACACTTCAAACGGTTGGTAAATAGCTTCAGCGGATCGGTTGGAGAAACAATAATACGCAATAAAATACAATAATAATGAATGAGTGGTAGCAAATAAAATTAAGAATTGTTGTGCAAACAGAGCCATGAGGAAAATATTCAGTTAGCTATATTACCGGGGTGGCCACTAACTTTAATTTTAGGAGCCGCTAATTTATAAAGCTAATTCGAGGCGAGACACATTGTAAAACGCTGTTTATAAAATAAAAACACATTTTTCATTTTAAATCAAACGAAGTAACATTTATTATTTACACTACACAAACATTATTATTATTAATATTGTTGTTGTTTTATTTATGAGAAGTGCTTTTTCGAGTGTTCATTTTTTCTGTAAGTTTTTTAAAACTTGGCTGATAATTTATAAGCGCAGTTCGCACAAGTTCGCTTAAATGTTCATCAGTTAACGAATTTAATTGGTCGCCGTATCAATCTATAATAACGACTGTAATGATAACGAAACCAACGACAATAAAAACATTATCAAACGATTCTAACAGAATTATATGTTTATTAATTGTAGTCTAAGCTTGGTTCAAGAGCTGCAAGAAACTCATTTAAGAGTCGCGTGTGACTTGTGAGCCTCGTTGTGGCCATCCTTGCTATAGAAGATCATTGTCGTTCAAAACTATAATAGAAAATAAAATCCGTAAACCTACTATTTGTGGCGGGCAGCTGCGCATGTGAGAAAATGTGGAAACGGAAGACAAGCCATGCGGAAAATACACCGGAACCTGTACGAGTTCGAAACGAAGGAGACGATAAAAGATGTTGAAGCCGCGGAGAGGTTGTACAACAGATGTGAAAATGTTTCTATAAAAGCGAAACGATTAGAGTTGGCTGGCTGGCCATATTTTTGGCTGGCTGATGAGTCTAATGTTGACGGCTTAATACATGTAATCATATATATGTGGTCATTAAAATTTCACGATACAGTCAAATTTGCAATAAAATACTTATTTTTCCAAAAATTACTCATGTAAAATCTTTTTGGAATCATATATACTCTTAAATGTTACATTGTCCTTATTTTTGTCACCTCTATTTTTGGGAGTGAAACAACTACCCACTTTTGATTTTTAAATGACTTACAATATTAAAAATTCCATACATATATGGAAACTAATAAGTTTAAATACATTTTTGTGTTGACATTATTGATTTCCTTTTTTTTTTTTTTTTAAACAAGTATTTCATGAAAAATTTGACTGTATTATGAAATTTAAATCTCCTTGCATATATATATATAAAACTAGATAGCCGACTGTATGTTATAGATGTAAGAGATATGAAATTAGGCAGCCACTGGACTTAAATGTAGTAGCAAAAGAAGGAATGTGCAGTAGGTAGCCAATGTAGTGGTGTATAGTTCTTGATCATTTATCAGTATATATTGTTTTAATATAGTATGTTATGTACATGATTTTTAACTTAATGGTACTTAAATTGAAAATTTTTTCAAAATTCTCAAAATACTTTTTCCGATTTGATCACCTTAGGAAATGCTTAAGATGATACTATCAGACTACCGCGTTATTGATTGAACGTACTGTGCAAGTATACGATCATTTGTTTTGCAACGACAACGCACATGAATATAATAAAGTAAATTACCAAAAAATGTATGCAATTTTTTCTAGGTGCCGATTAGCTTATACTATGTACACGTGTAAACACCTGCGCCAACAGAAATATTATTATTATATATGTTTTGAATATTTAAAATTTCTGTATATTTTCGTACCTTATTACTCTGAACATATCGCAATAAGACAGTTTTTGTATACCGACTGCATATTAAATATTCCAAATGTGTACATACAATAGTTATAATATTATGTTCGGGACTTAACCGATGGGCACCTATATAGTCACATGATACACTTACGTAATATTATTTTCAGCAGGAAGTCTATCGACACACAATAGTATGTATTATATACTCGGATCAGTATAGGTACCTATAGGTAGACGATGTAATAAATTTGAAAACCCGTCGCGTTTCTATCAATATAGAATGGATATATCGGCAAACTTC